CCCCACGCCACAGCCCTTTACTCTTTCCCGTTTCCCATTTGTTGGCTTCACGTCTTTTGCTCCGGGGATCCGCGTTAGCTAAATTGGTCGACACCGGACGACAGTTAGGGGGTCCCGTGGAAAAGGACGTGTGCGTGCTTGCGTGCGTCTCTGTGTGCGTGTCTGTCTGCACACAAGTGTTATGTAGCTGGCTGGCTGTTGGCCGAATTTTGAGTTAGAAAAGCAACCTGCTGGTTTCCCTTGCTCGTTTTTCATTTCTGCCCCATCACTTTATTTATTTATTTATTTATTTATTTATTTATTCATTCACTCATCAATTTATTTATTCATTTATTTCCCCTCTCTTTTAAGTCGGGCACACCGTCGTTTATTGATGGATGTACGTATGTATGTCTGTATTTCCGCTCTCTTCAAGATGGGTTTTCTCTGTGTAGTCCTGGCTGTCCTGAAACTATCTCTGAGGACCAGGCTGGCCTTGAACTCGGCTGTTTCTCTGTCTCCTGACTGTTGGGGTTAAAGGCTTGCCTCCCCCCCCTCCATGGCTGTGGCATCTTTGAATGATTTTGGCATCTGGCTGAGTTGTTAAGCAGTTAGTGTGTGATTTTTGGTGTATTGTCCTTTGTTCCTTGAGAGGCCATATTCCTTTCAGCAGCTACTGTGAGAATTTGGTGGTGGAGTTACTGACGTCGTCTTCTGAGACCTGGGAGAAAAACAGTGAAGCTGGCAGCAAAAATAGTTTTCAAGGCTGGATACCTAACATGTCAGGGTACTTGTTTAACTTTTGAAAATATTTTTTTTTTTTTCAAAATATTTACAGTTAGATACAGTCTCAGCATACATACGCAGCGGTGGCTCAGAAGGCAGTAATCCGAACTTCCTTTTTTAGCATAGGCTGAAGTATATCTGGGGAAACTGACACAACGGTTACCATGCACATAAAATGTACTAGGAGATGCAGTTTTGATGCTCCAGGAAGGTGCTGCCTTTTTATAAATGAGAGACCCTGGAGGCAAAGAACAGTTGAATGGTTTGCCCAAGGTTGTGTTACTAAGTAACAGTGGGAGGGCTGAAATGTGCTTTGAGTCCCTGTCTGTGCTCTTGTTTCTTTTTCATCTGGAGTGTGCCTTTACCACCTATGACGTGGTCCTGGTCATAACCTGGCATCCACTCTCTGCTGATGCATGTGTGAACCTAACCGATAACATCGTGGAAGCAGCTAGGTCCCTCGTGAGAGCCTGACTGGAGACTGCACCCTGTTTAGGGCTTGCAGAAAAGGCCTCCTTGAGGATGTAAAGTATGAGGGGGGATGATGTGAAGAAGTGGAAGAGAATGTGTAAAATAATGTCATTCTTCTCTTTCGAATAGGCAGGATCTGTTTTACATGTTTTATATAAAGCAAGTAGTTATAAGAGCTGAAAACTGGAAAATAAATGAGGAGAAAACCAAATTGTTAGGCATTTGTATTGGCCTGCCCTTGGGGTTCTGACAGGATGCACACATATACTACATTGTTCCCTTTTAAAAGGGCCCTACTCATTCCCTCCCTCCCTCTCCTGTTTCTCTCTCTCCCCTACCCCTTCTCTGCCTCTCTTTTCTGTATTGCTGCTCCTGTCCCCAGAGGCTGACCTCTGCCTCCCCTCCCCCCTTTTCCCATTTATTTCCCCTAAATAAGAAACCCCTCCACCCAAGCTCTGTCACATGGCATCTTTCTCTTGAGCGCTGCTTTTTGCATTACAACACAAATAAGTATGCTATATAATCAGAGTTTCCTCTTCTGACTTTATTCTTTTCAGGTTACTTACAAATGCTTGAAAAATAAAACAAAATGAGCTGGGCACTGGAAGAATGGAAGGAAGGTCTCCCTACTCGAGCCCTTCAGAAAATTCAAGAGCTTGAAGGACAGCTGGACAAACTGAAGAAAGAAAAGCAGCAGAGGCAGTTTCAGCTTGACTCTCTGGAAGCTGCACTGCAGAAGCAGAAGCAAAAGGTACCACTTTCTGAAGCAGTGTGCTTCCTTTTGGATTAGTTCACTTGTAGAAAAGGAATCTTGTCTCTCACTCAGACATTTGAAGTTGCCTCAGGTTTTATTCATCTGTGGTTTTATTGCTGCTCACCTGCTGATCATTAGGGCTTAATTTCATTTTAACTTCTGTTTGGGAAATGGCTTTTTTGCCAGGTGCAATAAGGCCAAGTATGTGGCTTCAGATCTGGACTGGTATGGCGTTTTTTACGCTTTAGATGGAGAGAACTCTCTCTGACAGCTTTTTACTTTGGAGTTTCCAACATCATCTCTTCAGGGGTATTAAATGAAAACGTAATACTTCTTTAAAAACAAAACAACCTGTTAACCAACTGTGTGGTGGTACAATCATGGCATCTAATTTATTTTTGCTTATGGAAGGATTTTTTTTCCCATTTCTTAAAATAACTGGCTTCCTTGGTGAAACTTGAAAGTGAACTGTTCAGGAAAACTTATAAGGTTTATTTTTAAATTCTCTTTAAAATTTTGTGTGTGTGTGTGTGTGTGTGTGTGCGCACATGCGCGCCTGCCTGCCTGCCTGCCTGCCTGCCTGCCTGCCTGCCTGGCTGATTATATGTACAACCCATTAGTGTAGGTCCAAGAGCTCAGAAAGGGAAGTTGGATCCCATAGAATGGGATTTGTAGACAGTTGTGAGCCATGGAATGTGGGTTCTGGAAACTGAACCCAGGTCCTTATCAGAGCAGGAAATTGCTCTTATCCATTGAGCCATCACTCCAGCCCTTTATTTTCAATTCTTGAAAGGACATCAAAAAATAGTATCGTATGTGACTTTATAGAACTTTATACGCTCAGGTTTGCCCATTTAAAATGTCTCTGTTTGGCCGGGTGTTGGTGGTGCTGACTTTAATCCCAGCACTCTAGAGGTAGAGGCAGGTGGATCTCTGAGTTCAAGGCCAGCTTGGTCTACCAAGCAAGTGCCAGGATAGGCTCCAAAGCAATACAGAGAAACCCTGTCTCGAAAAACCAAAAAATTAAAAAAGTCTCTGTTCATGAAGCATCACACCCCACCCCCACCCTGGGGTGTGTTGTTACTACCATGTCCCACAAAGTTAGTTGTAGAGTCAGACTTACACGGAATACTTGGTAAGTATATAACAAAACTATTTTCTTGTCACCAATCTCTGTTAGGTTGAAGATGGAAAAACAGAGGGTGCAGACCTGAAAAGGGAAAATCAAAGACTGATGGAAATATGTGAAAATTTGGAGAAAGCGAAGCAGAAGGTTTCTCATGAACTTCAGGTTAAAGAGTCGAAAGTGAATTTTCAAGAAGGTCAACTGAGCTCATGCAAAAAACAAATAGAAAAACTGGAACAGGAACTTAAGCGGTAACTGAGTAACATTTGTATGGACTTCAGTGCCAAGGATCTCAGACCCCCAGCTGAGAGCCTGGCCAAAGGCTGAGGAATAGTAACTTCTAGGCTCACATAAGAGTTATTAAAACTTGCAGGGATAAGGGTCCCAGTATACAGAAAGACCAACACTAGGTGGCATCTTTTGCCAACTACTCGGGGAAACTAAAGTAGCCAGAGACCGTCACTTGCCTTGCTTTCTGTCTAGGTGGAGCAGAAGAGCCCCTAATGTGGTTGGGTAGCATTTCTAGCCACAATCCTTTCTAGATGTGTAATGTTAATTTAATTTGTTCATCTCTTTTTAAAATGCCATATAATGTCTGTATATCGAGTCTCTAAATTTTTTATTACATTTATTTGTGTGCTCATGCACACATGGAAGTCATTGGACAACTTTTGGGAGTCAATTCTCCCCTTCTACTTATGGGTCTTGAGATCAAACTTGGGTTGTCTGGCTTGTCAGCAAATGCCTTTACCTGCTGAGTCAACCTGCTCACCCCAAGTCTCTTGTTTTAACATGATTATCATAAGTAATGTCTCTGTTTTCATAGTTAGAACCTGTACTTCTGAAGTTCTGAGCTCTTTTGTATTTACTTTGGCTTAGATGGAACATAAGATTTGCTTGGAATGCAGCCCCAGTCTTCTAAACCTCTTTGCTGCTATGGTGCTTTATAGTACTAGGTCTTCATAATATTTTGAAGACAGGGTACTACATTTTACATATGGCTTAAAAACTAAGCTCACTAGATGTCTATTGGATAAAAGGATTCTTAGAGGCAAAGTTTTCATATGCTCTTTTGTTCTCTAGGAATGTATAGCATTGGTACTCTGTAGCCTTTGTTGTAATCTGTCTTGTTGGTCTCTTGGGTTCTTTTTTTAACAGGTGTAAATCTGAACTTGAAAGAAGCCACCAAGCCATACAGTCTATGGATGTTTCTCTGAATCCATGCAGTACACCCCAAAAACTTTTTACAACTCCACTCACACCAAGTCAGTGTTATATTGGTAAAGATTTTTATTTGTTATAAACAAGTTTTGAGTTTTGAATTCTGCAAGAGCAATGGATTAGTCCACATTTGAATTTAGCTTTTAATTTTGGTGTTTCAAAAATGTCATCCCCAATTGCATGTTTGTTGAATTATGTTGAGGGATACCCTTCTGCAGTGTGTTTTAAAAGTTTCAGAACATGAGAGAAACGAGAGGAACCTCAATTTTGAGGAATTTGGTCAGTATTTTGGCATGTTGCTTCAGTCTTCTTTCTATTTAAATGCTTATTTCGAGATTTATTTAGTGTAGTCATTGCTGATCTGTTCATTCATTTCCGAAATGATTAGTTCACATAAACTCTTATTTGATTGTCTGTGTTTAGGTTCCACATATGAAGATCTAAAAGAAAAATATAATAAAGAAGTTGAAGAACGGAAAAAATTAGAGGCAGAGATTAAAGCTTTGCATGCTAAAGTAAGTTCAATGTGGTCCCTGCAGAAGACGTTCAGTCTGTAGAGCTCTTTGCTGTAGCAGAAGAAGAGTGGTGTAGGGCTGGCGTATTTCTCTTACGTGGAGAAGAATTTCAGGGATCACTGGTAGTGATTATTTTTGTTTGTTTTAAAACGGTCAGCAAGATGGCTCATCAGGTCAAAGCACTTGCTGTCCCAACCTGACTACCTGAATTCAATCAGTGGAGAACCCCATAGGGGAAGGAGAAAACTGGCTCCTGAAAGTTACCCTTTGACCTGCATGCAGGTGCTGCAATATATATGTTCCTGTACGCACTTCCCTATTACACAAATAAAATTAAAATAGATAGGAGAAAGCTGGGCATTGTGGAATATGCTTGTAATCTCAGCACTCAGGAGACTGAGGCAGAAAGAAGGCTCTTGAGTTCCAGGCCTTCCTGACCTACATGTTTAAGACCTTGTCCTAAAACAAAAACTAAAGACACTAGGTGAGGTTAGTTTTATCTCCAAGTATTAAATGTTCATGAGTGCACCAAATCCATTTTACCTTGTTAAAACCAAGATTAGGGACCCTATTTAGAGAGAGAAGGACTTGGGAATTACTCCTTTGTCCTGATACTTGCTGGCTGACTTCCCTGGTGGAATGTGGTTACTATAAGAACTGAGTTTTGAGGGTCATTACTGGTAAAATTCTCATTTCAGGGAAGAATGTTGGCAACACAGTGTTCTGTTTTTTTTTTTTTAAGATAGTTGCCCGTAGGTTTTTTGGTTTGTTTGTTTTGTGTTTTGAGACAGTCTCCTGTCTGAGACTGGCCTCAAACTTATCAAGTAGCTGAGGAGGATTGCCTTGAAGATCTGAACCTCCTGCCTTACTTGCAGAGTGTTAGGACCACAGGTGTGTGCCGCTAAACTCGGTTTGTGTTGTATTGTGGGTAGAATGTAGGGCTTCATGTATGCTGAGCACTCTACCAACTGTGCTACACCTTTAGCTATAAACTCCATTTTATTATGGGTCAGTAAGCAGGGAAGTGGGTGAAAAGTCAGGATTTCAAAACCCTTACAACTTCAGAGGCCACCCTCAAAAACCTGATCTGGAAGAGTCCATTGCCATTGCTGTGCACGTTGTTTCATTTTCTGAAACAAGAACAACAAAAGCCCCCAAACAAAACCTAGTTGGGTATCAATGTACATTACTGCCAAACAGAAATTTGAGAGGTCACAATTCAAACAACTTAAGGCAGAATTTATAAGTAGGTAACTAAATATTGAGGATCGAAAGACTTTCCTCTCTCCTTTCTTCCATTTCTTCTTCCCTCTTGATTTCATTCCCTCTTTCATTCCTTCCTTCCTTCTTCCCTCCTTCCCTCCCTCCCTTTCTTCCTTGCTTCCTTCCTCCTTTCTTCCTTTCTTTTTTTTTTTCAAGACAGGGTTTCTCTGTGTAGCTTTGGAGGCTGTCCTGGAACTCGCTCTTGTAGACCAGGTTGGTCTCGGAACTCACAGAGATCCACCTGTCTCTACCTCCTGAGTGCTGGGATTAAAGGCATGCCGCGATACCTATTTCTTTACACATCCTTCAACAGTGTTTTAAGGTCACCAGGATTGTTGTACCAAGGCACTGCTTTCCAAGATAAATAAAACTAAATTCTCTAACCTGTCCTAGAGAAATGTGCTGCTTCATTGGTATGTTCTGCTCCTATAAGGAGTGTGAATTTCTATAGCCATTGACCCACTCCAGTAGTCAGAGGAGTGCTTGTTATGACAGTAACATGCATCTGTCTCCACAGGCTACAAGTACTTGTTGATGTTTCTGGGGTGCATTAGCAGATAATGAAATGTGAGATTAGTGACAGTTCTATAGGTTGATACTTAATGTAAAGGTTTCTGGGGAAAGGAAAGCCAAGTTTGGAATTTAAAATGGAGGTGAATAATGGTAAGTAGTACCAAGATTTAGCCCTTGTGGATTGATGGTACCTCAGATGGCATTAGTTCTCTTTCGCCCTTCAGTGCTGAGAGGTCTGATTGTTAGGACTTTGCCCTGCTAGGTCTTGGAATTTATGATATCCTACCCTGGATTAGCGTTCAGTATTTGCTGTGCAAGCTCCATCATCATGGGATTATGGCTTCATGTTCTGTCTGGAAAGAAGAAATAGCCCTGAATATTGAGATTTCCAGGTTTGGGCATGTGGGTCAGCAGTAATGTGATTACAGAACACTGGGGAGACAGGGAGAGATAAAGAAATTGAGTTATTTTTAAGAGGGCTGTAAAGAGTTTCTATTTCTACAGAACGTGAGCCAGCCTGTTCCCCAAGCCACCATGAACCACCGGGACATTGCAAGACATCAGGCATCCTCATCAGTATTTTCTTGGCAACAGGAAAAGACCCCAAGCCACCTTTCATCTAGTTCTCTGAAAACTCCACTTAGGAGAGATGTCTCCGCTTCTCATTTTTGGGGAGAAGAAGTGACTCCTAACAGATCAAGTCTGCAAACAGGGAAAAGAGACTGCAGTAGCAGCTTTTGTGACGATCCCAGTAGTTCTCAGCTTTTGGAACAGGTCAAGGCCCAGAATCAGGGTAACTTTAACATAACTTAAGTTTAAATGGAGGTTTTCCTCAGTCTGGGATGTGCATTGTATATTTTGTTAGACACATTGGTAGTTTACTCCCCAGACTAATGTGGTCCATTTCTGTAATGACAAAAGAATGACAGTTTTGGAATGCACTTGTATTTGTATTGAAAATGTGGCACTGTGAGTCTTTAAAAGTAGACTGAGAGGCTCTGACTTATTTTTTAAAAAGCAGAATGAGTAGGTTGGTTACAAGTTTGCACTCTTCATTGCTTCTTAGTTGGCTCTGTTGAGGCCCTTAGAACAAGCCTGTGGTCTGAGAAGCCTTGGCCAGAGGTGTGGTGTGTATATGCAAAAGAGCTCTTCCCTGTGCTGCCAGGCTGTCCATATGGGAGCAAACCTGTAACCTTGGCTGCTGTACCACACTGAAGCTGACAGCCAAGCATACCAGGTGGTGTTTTGGAATCCACTCTGTGGACTATGATAATTTCCAGTGCTGTGATATATTGAGAATCGTCATCAGTGTTTGCTGGTGAGAGTTGTCGCACTGCCAATGCCATTGGAACTAGTATTGCTTATGCAGGAAAAGGGAGGGATAACATTGTTAATTTTGGCACTATGTGAGGTTTACACTGTCTTGATCTTCAGTGGAGGCAAAGCTTCCAGGCACTGTAGGAAGGTGAGTATCCCACAGCCTAGCATGAATTTGTATTGATATGGGCATAAAGCAAATATTAATGTCCAGTGTCTAAAGTCAAGTGATAACTACACAGGGCATTGCTTGTGGTCAGCACTATACCACCATAAGGTGCTGCTTGCAAAGCATCCTCCTTTTGCTCCTCTTTGAAGACATAAGAAAATATATTTCTCTGCCTTCCGTGGGTTATTTAAATAAGCATGTCAATGGAGATGCTGACTGTTGAAGTTAAATCCAATTAACATAGTTTCTGTATTTAATGTTTATTAGAGTTATCTCACCAAAGATTCAGAGTAGGTAAAATAAATAAGTTGTGAACATTATGTATATGTGTGTCTTGATATAAATTAGAATGTTCTTTTCTTTTGTGCTTTCAGACCTAAAAAGCAAGATGAATGAGTTGGAACTACGCCTACAAGGACAAGAAAAGGAAATGAAAGGCCAAGTGAATAAATTTCAAGAGTTACAACTACTGTTGGAGAAAACAAAAATGGAATTAACTGAAAAAGAGAAAGTTTTGAACAAAACCAGGGATGAGCTAGTGAGAACCTCAGCACAGTGCGACCAGGCAGCAGCCAAGGTACTTGACTTCCCATGAATGATTGAGAAATTTATAAAGTAGTTGTGGGTAAAGGTCTTTGAAAGCCCATGCTGTCTGCAGAGGGGTAGATAATGGGACCTGTCTTGCAAGTGCCTTTCCAGCTGTCACAGTCAAGAATGTTTTGGCACTCAAGTGGCATAGGAGGATTACTGCAGCTGGAGGGGATAGTTCAGGACACAGGATGGCATTTAGGTGATCTGCCCCTGGACTCAGTAGATACATGCTGCCAAAGACTTTTCTTAAGTGAGGTCATTATTTGAGGGCTTGTTTCTTTAGCTCAAACCTACCTCAGGTTTTTCTGTTTTTTTTTTTCTGTCATTTGTCTTCACTAATGTACTCTGTCATTCACTTGGTTATTTACTGAGTGTTGCTGCATGTTATTCTAGTCCTGGGGATATGTAGAGCAGCAAAAATTATTACCCTGTGGAGGCAGAGTATAATAGCAGTAAAATAAATCCAGAAAATAGTATAATAAGTAATATTAAAAAAAAAATAAAGCAAACAACCGATTACTATGTGGTAACATGGAGAAGTGAATTACCTTCCAAAACCAACCATGGTGTATTTGGTGCTTTCTGTACCCAATCTCTCTGGGCCCATCTCATTCTATTTTAAATACCCACTTTCCCTCCAATTTATGTTTTTTCTTGCCATTTACTCTCTTCTGGCATCTTCCTCAGGGCCCTTCTGGTGTCATTATTATGTTCTAGGCATAGGGTTCTTTCACTTGGCTATTAGAATTACAGAGATCCTCGAAAAACCGTGTCTGAGGTGTCCCTGAGGATTTTTTTTCTTTAATAAACACCATTTCTGAATCTATAGGTGAAAATTGTTGCATTCGAACTGGGTCTCTGCTTTCCATGGGCAGGTTCCTTTTTCTTCCCTAATTAAAATTTTGTTTAAAGTCATTGAAGGTTCACATTTAGCTGTATGCAGCAGTAGCTTACTAATGTGGCTGATTATACTGACTGGTTTTCAGATACTCACATGGAAAAAGCCCCACATGATTATGGCATGTAACTTTTTACTTACATGTGAATTTTATTTGCCAATAACTTGTTAAGGATTGGGGTGTCTTATTTTCATGAGAGGTATTTATTGTTTGGCATTTTCTTTTTTTCTTCCATCTTCATATGATACTTGTTATCAGGGTAATCTTGGATTCATAAAATGAACTGGGAACTGTTCTATCCTTTTTCTGGAAGAAAATGCCATTGATGTATCTTTCTTTATGGATTGAGTAGAATTCCCTTGTGAAATAAACCAGGCCTAGAGATTTTTTTCATGGAAATTTTGATATTTTAAATTCAGTTTCTTTAATAACTTAACAAAATTATTTGTTTCCTACTGAGGGGATTACAGTGGTTGATGTTTTTATCTGAGTGGTCAAATTTCTGTATTTCTGTCTTCCTAATTTCATTCTACCTATGTTGTCTTTGATGTATGTTTTGCATACAATTGGGTCGCCTACTGTTTAATTGGTGAATTTAGCTCATTTATATTTAATGTTATTATTTGCCATACTTAAGCCTTCGACTTTTATTTTGCTTTCTGTTTTTTTTTTTTTATTGAAACATGTTTCTTACCTTTTAGTGGATTACATAAACATTTTATAGGATTCATAGGCTATTGTATATTTATTTTGCCAGCATTAATATGACACATTTGCCTCCCTTGTTTATATTCTCCCCCATTTATAGTCGTCTTAAATGGCTTTTTAACTTACACTTGGAACTATATTGGCTGTATTACATTTTTTATGAAATTGTCAGACACTTAAAAATGTCAGATGAATGCTTTCTTCCCTTCTAAATTCTGGCAGGGTTCCTTTTTGATCTTTACCTTTCTCCTTAAAGTGCTTCCTGTTCCATTGTTAGGGTGTGTTTGTTGTCCACAAGGTCTTAGTTTCCCTTTATTTAAAGATGTGTTTATCCCTCTTCATTCCTGAAGGGTATTTCTGGGTTGAGATTTGTTTGTTCATTTTGTTTTGTTTTCTCTCCAGTATTTTTGATATTTATAGACTCTCAAACACTCATTAGTCTGCTTCCTCTTTCTAGTCATTGTTTATTTCAAAGTAATGTTCAGAAACTGTATTTGTTGCTGTTGAGGTAAGACTGTATTCTCTTTTCCTTTTTTGAAGTAATATTATTACTTAAAATACTGTTGTGCTAAGGTTTGTAAAGATTGAGGTGATTTTTGTAAAAGGTTTGGCTTAATACCTGGGTCAAGGTGAATTTATAATATTAATTGCTGTTATCAGCGCTTATTATTTATTGAGTTTGTATTCAACTCTGCTAATTTTGAGTTGAATCTCTGTGTAGCCAGGACTTCCTATAATAACAATATTTATCTTGTTTTGGTGATTAAGGATCTTTGTTCTACTTGTCATATTTGGTGAGGTCTCTAATGAGATTATTGTTAGAGGTTATGACTTGGAGAGTGCTAAGACTCTGACTCTAGCTTTCATCTTTCTACTAATCCTCCAGGTCCTTAAGATTCAGTTTTATTTCAGTACCTTTTGGATTCTCCTTTCTCCCCAACTCAGTTTCAAATCTGCCCAACTGAAAATTCAGTGATTTTTTTTTTTTCCTTGTGCCTAATAGAATTTTGTTAAACATTGTGCTGACATCATATTATGTTGTGTGTCATTAGAATTGCTTATTATGGAGCTAATACACTCTTGTGTTCTCAAGTGATTGGATGTTGTTTGAGTCTTTTTCCAAGTATTTACAAACTATATTTGGAGGCTGAAAGGAATTTAAGACTGACAGCAACTAACCTGGTACCCATCACCCATGCTTTACAATTGAAAAACAAAGCTGAAGGGAGTGCTCAGGGTCATAAACTAAATAGTTACAGGAATTTGAGTCTTGTGCACTTTAGAGCAGTGGTTCTTAATTGGTGGGTCACGATCCCTGGGTGGTGAATGACCACTTCACAGGTGACATGTCAGGTATCCTGCATATCAGATACTTAAAATTCATAACAGTAGCAAAATTACAGTAATGAAGTAGCAACAAAATAACTTTGTGACTGGGGGTCATCACAATATAAAGAACTGTATTAAAGGGTCTCAGCATTTAAGGTTGAGAACCACTGCTTTAGAGTATTATAGAGCATACATGACATCTAGTGGGCAGTTACTTACACATGGTAATTTTGCATCATTGGTAATACAGTGGTATTCAGAATATTTTTGAATGAAGTATAAATACCTTCAAGGGTCTGTTGTAATCTCTGCTGTCTATAAGGAAAGGTCCCTTAAGAATATGCTGCACTGTGAAGGAGTGCCAGTAGAGGGTACCAAGGGTTTGTTTACGCTAGTGCTTGGTTTTTGTTTTTGCTGTTTGATATTGCCAGCTATCCAAATGCCAGGCTTAGGGCTGATGATCTCAGTAGTTTTTACATAGCCTAGCACAGTGGAAGACACAGTAGGCTCTCAATCACTGTAAGTTAAATTTATATTTATTGTTAAAAATCTTGTAGTAGTATTCCTAGGGAATTGAAAACCTTAGACAATAATTATAGCAGTGAAGGTATCTTCATGTCTGAGGCAGTGGGTGAATTTGATGCCCTGGAGAAATGGATCAGTTGGTAAAATGCTTGCTGCAGACCTGAGTGGATTCCCAGACCCAAGTAAAAAGCTAGGCATTCATCTGTATACATAGAGCACACGCATGTGAAGCAGTTAATTTTTTTTGTTTAGGAAGTGTTTTGTTTCTCCATGTAGATCAGACTGACTTCAAACTGATGATTTTCCTGTCTCAGCCTTCTGAATGCTGAGACTACAGGTATGTGCTGTTGTGTACAGCTTAGGCTCTCTTCTATTGACCAGTTTGGTACTGTTCGTCTTTGGTTAGTTAATAGTCTTTGGTTAGTTAATAATCAACATTTTGTCTTCCAGCAAATATTGTATAGTGTTTTCTTCTGAATTCTCAGATTCTAGTACAGTACTGTTAAATTAGACTATGGATGGCTGAACAGACAGCCTAAGCACTGGAGTTCAGTCTGTTAAGTAAGTCATGCTTAAATTACATGTGTCCGTAATACTTATGCAGACAGGATCTGTGACTTTACTCAGCAGGAACAGGTAGTTGCTGCAGACACCTGATGACCTGAGTTTAGTCCCCAGAACCCATGGTAGGAGGAGAAAACTGACTCCCAAAAGCTGTTTTGTTGGCCTGTGTGCATGTGTTGTGCTCCCCCATCATATATGTACTCACAATAATTAAAAATAGCTGGTTGTAGTTGTATGTTGTTGTAATCCTAGCACTGGGGGTGGGTTGGGGAGAGCAGGGCAGAGACAGAAGGATCTCTGGTGCTGGCTGGCTAGGCTGTCTAGCCCAGTTGGTGAACTCTTCCAGTGTCAGTGAGAGATTCTGCCTAACGAGAATCATTGAGGAAGCTCTGGTCCCCATGTGCACCTACCTGCAAATGTGTACCTTCACACACTCATGTACACCGTGTGCATGCACACACAAACATGTATGTGTAGGAAGAATTTCAGAGAAAAATAATGAAGTTTACTAAATCGAGGCACCTCTCAGAGTGGAGAACCCTTTCCGATTAATATAAAACTTTTTCCCCCAATGATTTATTTTATGTACATTGCTGTTTTGCTTGCATATATATCTGTGTGAAGATGTCAGATCCCCTGGAACTATAGTTACAGACAGTTGTGAGCTGCTGTGTAGGTGCTGGGAATTTAATCTGAGTCCTCTGGAAGACTGGTCAGTGCTTATAACCGCTGAGTCATCTCTCCAGCCCCCACAAAACTTTATTTCTTCTTCAGTATTGTTTCTGGGAGTCAGCCATTTTAAGGATTTGAACTAAAGGAATGGCTTCAAGATATGCAATGAATCTCACCACTTGAAAGGACTAAAATAATTTTGTTTAAATTTAACTTTAGGAAAATACCCTAAGTTTTCATGTAATTAATATTTTTAAAATTAGCACTAAACTATATATATGTTAAAAAAAAAAAGCAACAGCATATTCTTTCTGTTGCTTCTGAGAGCATAATTTAAGAACAGCTGTGGTTTTCTGGGATTCTGTGAACCTCTAGAAATGTAATGATATAATGGGAGTATTATGGAAAGAAGTAGTTTATTTTTAACATTTTTTAACAATAATTCATTATGGACTGGGTATGGTGGTGCCTGCCTTTAACCCAGTACCAGAAGGGTAGAGGATGGCAGATCCTGAGTTTGAGGCCAATCTTGTAAGTTTCTGGCCAGCCAGGACTACTTACTTAGACCCTGACTCAAAATTATCTGTCTCTACTGTGCTTGCAAGATACTTTGATGAGGAGGGTAGGGAGCCCGCTCTAACTATTCTATAGCTCATAAATCACTATGCCAGTATCACTGCCTTGTTTACTTACTAGTGTTTTATGTGAAGTAGGTTGGAGGACAACTTTCAGCCTGTCTGAACAAGAATTTCTGGGCATCTCTCATGTCTCCTTCCCCATCTTGCCATGGGATTCCTGGGCTGACAGATGCAAACCCTCCCATTCAGCTATCTGTGTGGGTTCTGGGGATTGAAGTCTAACTGTCAGCCTCATGCTGCCTTTTGGTGCCTGTTTGCCAAGCAGTCTCCCTCTACCAGGGCACACATTGTGAAGTATGTTAGAGACGTACTGATGCTTAACATCCCTATTCACATTTGCTAACAGATCAATCATAGTGACCTTAGAGTTTAGATAATGATATAAACCTGGCCTCCCCCCCCCCCCCCACAGGGTTTCTCTGTAGCTTTGAAGCCTGTCCTAGAACTTGCTCTGTAGACCAGGTTGGCCCCCTTACTTACAGAGATCCACCTGCCTCTGCCTCCTGAGTGCTGGGATTAAAGGTATGTGCCACCACTGCCTGGCTCTAAACCTGACTTTTTAAATGATATAAAGAGATCAAAACAATGGTAAACATGAAATAGACTTTAGGGACTACGATTTCTTTTTTTGTTTGTTTTTGTTTTTTTGAAAACAGTGCCTTACTGTGCAGCTTTGGCTGGTCTGGAACTAAGGAAGTAGACCATACTGACCTTGAACTCAGAGATCTGCCTGCCTCTGCCTCCTCACTGCTGGGTTTCAAGGTATGGATCATCATACTGGCCTAGACTAAAATTTCTTAAAACACAAAATTTGGGTTCTTTCTTTGAGTAACTTGTTTTATATGGAACATTTTTATCTGTTATCAGTGTATTACCTTGGAACAAAAGCTAAAAAATTTGACTGAGGAGTTGAGTTGTCAGCGACAGAATGCAGAGAGTGCCAGATGTTCTCTGGAGCAGAAGATTAAGGAGAAAGAAAAGGAGCTTCAAGAGGTAAGGTGAATGGGTTCATGGAGAACTTTTCTGAGAAAGACTAGTGATGTGGAAGGAAGAACTACTTACTGTGACTGAGGACATTATGGAGCAGGCATGCTTTCTGAGCACAAGGCCCCTGCATTTTTCCTCACACCTGCATTCTTGTACCTTTCCACCATTCACTTTTTGATTAACAAGGATGCTCTTGGAGTTTGTTTTCTATTTGGGTTGAGATTTGATGCTGAACAGGAGAGGAGCATCTTTGAGCTCTAGGTCCACAGTGAGGGGAGATTGCTTTGTTCTTCAGTTGTCTATTCAGGCTGTGAGTTGGTTAATTACTTAATAAGGTATTTGAGGTGGGCAGGGACCCAAAGGTAGGCTGGCAGGTATTTTGTCAGTGTGGTATCCCCCTGGTTGTCAGTCAGCTAGCAGCATTTATTCCTGTTCTTTCAAATGAAGACTGTTGTAAGTGTATATGACTGATTAGTTAAGCCCCCTTTTCCTTTCCTTTCCTTTCCTTTCCTTTCCTTTCCTTTCCTTTCCTTTCCTTTCCTTTCCTTTCCTTTCCTTTCCTTTCCTTTCCTTTCCTTTCCTTTCCTTTCCTTTCCTTTCCTTTCCTTTCCTTTCCTTTCCTTTCCTTTCCTTTCCTTTCCTTTCCTTTCCTTTCCTTTCCTTTCCTTTCCTTTCCTTTCCTTTCCTTTCCTTTCCTTTCCTTTCCTTTCCTTTTCTTTTCTTTTCTTTCCTTTTTTTTCTCTTTTTTTTCCCTCCTTTTGAATATGAGCTCATTAAATCCAGGCTTCTTGAACTCCTGATCCTTTGTATCCACTGCCTGAGTTCTGGATTAGGGGTGTATGTATCACCATGCCCAGCTCCTGTGCCCTGTTTTGTTTTACTTTTAATCATGTGGTCTGTATGTTGGTCACACGTGAGCACAGATGCAAATGCACACTCATGGGCATGGGTGAAGAGGCTTGGCATTGATGTGGGGTGTCTTCCCCTGCTCTTCAGAGCTGGCTGATCTACTACTCTTGCTAACCAGCTTGCCCTAGGGATTCTCTTTCCCTGCCTCTTGAGTGCTGACATTAAAGGTGGCTGCACACCTGCCTGGCTTTTCCAGGGTTCTGGTTCCATACCCTGGCACTCATACTTGAATGGCAAGCATTTTATCCACTGAGCCATCTTCCCAGCTTTTATGTCTGAATTTTTGGTGTGTTTCTGTGCTGAATTGTGTTGACTGCTGCTTGACTGTTCTTTCCTTCTCTTCATTCTTCAAAATTGAGACAACTAAGTTAGGAGATGAGGTGGAAATTGTCTGGCTTTCTTTTGTGTGGTCAGCTGGTGACTCTGACCTTTCCCTCTGAGACCTGGATTTGATTATCAGGACCAATGTTCAGGGTGATTGTATTTGGCATTCAGTAGATGGTTAGCATGGCGGTTAGCATGGCTCCCTGTTGTCTCTTTCACTTATAGCATTGCCTATTAGGATGCTCGTGTCTGCTTCTAGAATCTCGTTTGTTAATTGTTGTTTGATATTTTGCTTTTTAGGAGCTGTCCAGACAGCATCGATCTTTCCAAGCTCTGGACCAAGAGTACACTCAGATGAAAACCAGACTTACCCAGGAGTTACAGCAAGCCAAGCATGCACTCAATGTCCTCCAGGTGGAACAGGAAAAGGTAGGGCCCTGAACTTCATCTCACATATGCTCCTTCTATACTTCAGTTGACCTAGATTTTGTTTTAACTGATTGTTAAAAGCAGAAAAAAATGTGATGTTTGATATGTACTTTTTGAAAAATGTAATATTTCAAGGTTAAAACATTTCTTAAACATTTGTCATTCTTTATGGTGAAAACTTTCAAAGTCCCTTGTTTCAGCATTTGTTCAGAACATAATTGTGTGTACTGAGCACACCAAACTAGAAACTGAGAGCTGTCCTTCCCTTCCTCCTGCTCTCCCCAGTCTCTGAAACTGCTGTTTTCTTTCTGGTGTCCTTGGGATCCACTTTTTGGTATTCTTGTATATTTGGTTGTGAGTCTAGCCCTTAATGGTTGAGCCATCTCTCCAGCCCAACTTTTTGGTATTCTTGGTAAGGGAGTCAGTCTAAGTATCTGTCTCTTGTTAAATGTCCTTAGCTACCTTTAAAGTGGAAAATAACCTTTATTGCTCAGTATTCTCAGAAAAGGGGTGAAATGAGTTGGGTTTTCAGATCTGGATATGAGTGGAAATCTCTGATATTCTGGTCATTATGGGATATATAACAATCAGGGGATTTCCCAAGTGGTTTCTTCCCCCAGATAGTTAAAACATGGACAGTTACCAGCTGGTTTCTTTAAGACTCCCAAGAGTGTACACCTTTGCATACCACCGTCATTATGATGGGTCTCCAGCCTGGAGGTGTCTTCTGAACTTAAGACTGGTCATGTGTACATGGGTAACAATAATGAGTTGACCAGTGAACTTCAGCTATTGTCATCTAGATGAACATCTCCTCTAGTCTTCTCCGTCCCAATAAATAGGAATTCCATTCTTCACAGTGCTCAGGCTAACACTTCAGGTTACCTGCAATCTCCCCCCCTTTTTTATTTTAAAGATTTATTATTTATTACATATACAGTGTTCTGTCTACATGTATCCCTGCAGGTCAGAAGAGGGCACCAAATCTCATTATAGATGGTTGTGAGCCATCATGTGGTTGCTGGGAATTGAACTCAGGACCTTTGGAAGAACAGGCAGTGCTCTTAACCTCTGAACCATCTCTCAAGCCCTACCTGCAATTTTTATCTCATATCAAAACTGCTGAATCTACCTTTGTTTGTGCATACATGTTAGTGTATATTTGTATTTTATAAAGTATATGAATGTATTCTGATGTGAATGATAGTATATATTTAATCTTTTATTGTTTGAAAAACTTAAAAGTGCATACAATATATTTTGATCATATTTACCTCATTTCTCATCTTAATGCTTTCCAGATCTGTGCTCCCAACTTCATATTCTCTGTGTTGTTTTTTTATAACCTCTGAGTCCAATTTGTGCTTCTCATGTGCTCATGGGTATGGGGCCACCCAAAGGGACATGGTTGACCTTCTAGGGGCCGTACCCTTAAAGAAAACTGACTGTCCCTTTCCTAAAAGCCATCCGTTGTCCACAGCTCCTCAGTCAGGGGTGGGAGGTAGCTAGCTTGTCTCCAGTCTGTGCTGGAATGTCTGCTAACTTGATCTTGTGCAGGTCTGTGCTCACGACCATAGCTAACGTGAGTTCATGACTGAAGACAGGTTTCACCCTGGTCATCTCCACCCTTTGGCTCTTACAAATTTGGCAGCATGTGGTCTTGTCACCATTACCTATCAGAGTCTCGTTTTGTCATCCACCCCAGAAATTTTCCCATGTGCCCTTCCTACTAGCTAAGAATAAATTTGACTTTTCAGTGTTCACATACTATGTTGAATACAACTGCTTTAACCATGTCCAGTGGTGCATCCTGATACCAGTTACCATGCCAGCCTCTTGTCTGACCCTGCCCAACCTATGCCTGTGCTTGTTTTTAGCAATCTGTTTTCAGTCAGCCAGAGTGAAACTTCCATCACAAAATCAGATCCCATAGCTCCTCTGCTCAACACCGTGTGGTCATTTCCTGTCCCTGTCACTAGACCAGACAGGTATCTTCCCTGATTTCCCTGTGGAGTCCATCTTCTGCCCTCCTATCACTTGCTTCATTTTAGCCATGTGCCCCTCTGGCTCTTGGCAGGTTACACTAAGTAGAGACAAACCCAGGCCGTGATTGCAGTTAAACTCTCAGGTTGCTGTTTACTCATGGACTAGGAGGCTTGTGCCTCTACTGTATTGAGCATCCCTGGTTGGTACCTCTATCTCCAATGTCAGATACTGTGTTTTCTTTAGCGTGTTTACTTTTTCTCTGCAGTGTGAACATTGAATGTTTGCTGACTCATTTGTGTACTGTGTAGTTAGGCCGATGATCTGAAAACATAATTACTTCTTTTTCTTGTTATTTCTAAATAATGAAGTAACTACATAAGCACCTGTGTGTAGTATAGAGCTGATGCACAGTACTCAGGAGGATGTGCATTGGCTACAGGCAAACCCCATAACATTCTATAGAGTGAGGGTTTTGATGTCCTTGGTGCTTCTGGAGCCATTCTGTAGATACAAGGGATGATGACCCTGTTCTCCCAGTCACTCTCTCTTTCTCTTTTATCTCAGCTTTTTTTTTGTTTTTGTTATTCTCTAAGAATAGTTATTATTTTCAGAGAACAAAAATACTGGATTTTGTTGTTTTTTCTCTGTTGTAGGTCGTATCAGTGAAGCAGCAGTTAGAAAGGAGTTTAGAAGAATTTAGGCAAAAGCTCAACAAAACAGAACAAGCCCTTCAGGAGAGTCAGATCACAGAGAATGAGCTGAGGAGGAGCACTGAGGTATGTGAGCAGGAGGGTCAAGGAACAAACCCACACCAGAAGGAGGAAGTATGACAATTAAAACAGTATCTTTCTTTAAAAAATATTTGTGTGTGCACGTGCACATATGGGCACATGTGTCACGTTGTGCTCATGGAGGTCAGGGTAAAACTTGTAGGCACTTGTTCTTTCTTTCTTTCCGCCGTTATGTGGATCTTTAGGAACACAGGCTTGGCAAGCACCTTTGCACACTGAGTCATCTCCCTGGTCCAAAAAATGGGCTCTGTATCCTTTGTCAGTGGTTTATTAGTACCATACATATCTCTATTTTTTTTCAAGATGTTAATATAAAAGTGTTTTATGTATGTAGAATATGTTCATGCTTTCCCTTTTTACTTTGAAATGACTACTCATGTATTTAGCATGAGGAATTATGGATATATAAGTATATATAATCAGGTTTTTATTTATTTATTTATTTTCCAAGACAGGGTTTCTCTGTGTAAGAGCTATGGCCGTCCTGGAACTCACTCTGTAGACCAGACTGGCCTCGAGCTCACAGAGATCCACCTGCCTCTGCTTCCAGAGTGCTGGGATTAAAGACCTACGCCACCACTTCCCCGCTATAAACAAGTTTAAAAATTTTTCTGTGTGGATATGTATTGTATGTATTTTTGTCTGTGCCCCGCATGGTATGCTTGGTGTCCACAGAGGCAAGAAGAGAGAAGGTATCTGATGTCCTAGAACTGGGGTTACAGACTTGTGAGTCTCTGGGTCCTCTGAAAGAGCAGCAGCCACAGCTCTTAAAACCTCTGAGCCATCTCCCTGGCCCCTATAATGTCAAATTTCAAAGCAGAGGTCCTCAGCCTGTGGGTTGTGACCCGTTTAGGGTCACATGACCCATTTGGCAGATACCTTGCATATTATGTTATGATTCATAGCAGTAGCACAATTGCAGTTATTTTTTTTAAAGATTTATTTATTACGTATACAACATTATGCCTGCAGGCCAGAAGAGGGCACCAGATCTCATTACAGATGGCAGTGAGCCACCATGTGGTTACTGGGAATTGAACTCAGGACCTCTGGAAGAACAGTCAGTGCTCTTAACCTCTGAGCCATCTATCCAGCCCCCACAATTGCAGTTATGAAGTAGCAACAAAATAATTTTATGGGTGGGAGTCAACTCATCATGAGGAACTGTGTTAAAGGGCTGCAACATTTTGAAGATTGAGGACCACTGATTTAAAGATTATCATAGACCACTTGATGGGTGGAATTATGGAACAAAGGAATTGTTCAGATTTATAGGGAATAAGTGAAACTCAATGTGGATTATTAAAGTTATAGCTCTACCTTCTTCTCCCTTTTGCTTCTTCATTTGTTTAGTCATTTATTTATTTATTTATTTATTTGTTTATTTATTTATTTTTGAGGTGGGTTCTCACTCTGTTGCCTATGATGGCCCAAAACCAAAGTAGCTAAGTTAGGCCTTAAATTCCTGACCTCACTGCCCCTTCCTCTCAAGTGCTGGGATTACAGGCCTGTGCTGGCATGCACACTTGCTTTTTGTTGTATGTGTCCCAGGCTAGTTTGGAGCCTGCCTTGTCTCTACAGTGCTGGGATCTAAATCCCTTTTTGAAGGGTTAATTTTAGAAATGACCTTAGTTCACTCTCAGGTCACTGCTAAAATAAACAAATAAACAAAATCATGCAATTATGAATGATATTACCCTTTAGAATCGAGCATTGACCTTAGGATCCCCTGGGCGGCCTGGTCTGTGTTGCCTGTAGATTCCTGTTCTGCTGTGCAGTGGATGAGGAAGTGTCATGGCTGTGGGAGTGTTCTGAGGATCTTATGCCTACCCATGTCAATTTGACTTCTGAAGTTCCTTCATGGCCTGGAATTTGTTTTAAAGGACTTAATTAAGAAGCATTTAGGAACAGCTAATGGACTGCAATGATTGGAATAGAGCCAGAAATGAACAGAGAACAACAGGAGATCAGTAGAGGTGTCTTCTCAGATACTACAGGACTAAAAGGTTTTTCCTCCTATCATCAAAATGTTTTGTCATCACTTTTGGCCTGCTAACAATGAAAGAAAAACAATTTTGCTTATAACAGTGCCTTATCTAGGTGATAAAGTCTAAGTATGTTTGTCCCCATGGCATTTCACTGTAAATGAGAACACCTGTCATAGCAAAGAGGAAGTTATTAAAGCAGCCAGCAACAAAGAGGGAGCACTGCTGGAGATGGGGTGGGGTGTTCGACTCCTGCTCCCCAAGTGGAAGCCATTCAGTCAGATCCTGTGATGGGTTCATCTGCAAACATTTCCAGTGTGTGTTTATTGCAGCAAAACAAATGTTTGCCTTTTGGCCAGTGGGGACCAACCAACAGATGCTTCTGCTAACATTTCCACAGGCAGACTGGCATGGAGCTCTTCCCTCTGTGAGCTTCCCTTTTAGCCAGGAACTCTCCTGCAACTCGACTGGCTGCCTGTGGAAACATTTTGTAGAACTATCATCTGGTTCAGAGTCTAAACACCTTTTAACATGACTTGCTGGTGTATTTTAATATGCTGGACATTGTCTTGCAGATGTTTCTGAAAACTGACTTTATCCCCGTGGGGTTTGGTTTGTGGTGCTATCTCTGATTCCAGGCTGTGCTTCATCATATGTCTACCGTGTTCAAATGAAGATAGTCCTGTGTGGAAAGTGCTCACAAGGCCTGCATGTGAATTTACCATTCATTGTAATTATGTTTGTGTTTGTCTGTGAGTCTTCTGGGGATAGCAGTAGGAGTTGAAAGGGCTTCTCTGGCTCTTGTACTTTGAACTGTGGTTCAAAGGTCAGAGAAGTGACTTGTCAGAGTGCTGATGTAACTTGGGGATTACAGTGGTGATGGCTCTAATGGGAGCAATCTGGGTACACACTGTTGGGTACTTGTTAACCTTGGGATGATCTCTTTTTAGTCTGTATACAGATGCAAATAATATCTTTCCCTTTCAAGAATGTATTCATGATTAACTTCAACATTGCATATAAAGTATGTGGCCTGGTGCCCAGTGTGTAAGTGTGTAGTAAATCATGGAAGTCCACCTGCTTGTTGTTTTTGTTTCATAAATGTTAATGACCTTCGATGTTGGAATTCTTCGTGGTCATGTCAGGCACAGAAGGGTCATGACCAAAAGACAGTGCATTTGAGAGTTTTCATATTTAAAAATTTTGCCAGTTTAATTATCTGGTGTCTTTCTATATCTAATAAGTAAGCACAAACAAGCTCAACATGCTTATAGGTTTTGGATGCTGAAATGATGTGACAGTTGTGCTGAAATTTTCCTTGACTGCATTTTGTAAACTAATACTTCTCGAAATTAGAAATTATCGGTGCTGGAAATGTGATTTAATGACCCAATCAAGGGTAAAGTTAGCATTTAGTATCAAAGTGATGTGTGTGTGGGGGCGTAGATAAGCTGCTTACCCTGCTTCAAGTGCCAGCCTCTACCGCACTGGGGTTTGGTGGTAAAATGCCATCATTGACAGGCAGAGGATGAGGAAACACTTGGGGACCTTTCTAGGCATAGGGACCTGTGTTGTATTAGGTCTGAGGAATGTGGTCTAGCAGGCAAGAATGCCAACATAGAAGGGAGAGCACATCTGCTGCACCCATCCCACACCCTCATAGACAGCCTTCACCCAGCAGGGGACATAGCAAGCTGTGCTCATGGGTGGGAGCATGAAATGCCACACACTAACTGCAGTTTGTTTGTCTGGCCCTAGGAAATGATGCTTCCCCTGCTGCTCCTAAAGCAAAGCTGCTCTGGGTGGGATTGCTTGCTAAGCTCAGTGCTGGCTGTGCTTATGGAGATTGCTGTGCTTTTCTAGAGTAGTGCCCAATTTTGCAAATCGCGAGGACACAAGAGATGCCTAGGAGAATATATCCTTGTATGCTTAACTCATTGTTGCTAATGAGCTACCCAATCAAGACTTAAGTGGCTGTAGCCTCATGGAAAACTAATTGCTGATGGATGACAGCCTGTGCATCCATTTTCAGATGTTTATTTTCTAAATTCTGGCCCCTTAAAATTCTTGGGTCGGTCTCAGCCATAGCATTATAAGCCTGCTGGGTCCCAGGATTGGCTGAGCATTCCTTCGTTAAGGAACAAATATTTACAGAGTTAATGCCAAAATGGAGACAGGCACTCTAATCTTTTCATTGCTCTTGCTATTTTCTCAAATGTCTGCATTTATGGACTAAGACACAGAGGCCAACAGGCATGCCGTCATGACAACAACCCCTCCCCTATGTGGTACCTTACTCTGTCCTCCCCCCATCCCCTTGTAAACTATTTTCCTTGTGGAGTACTCTCAGTTCATCACATAGTGTCTTCCCAGCTTCTTTATCAAGGCCAAGATTTAATTTGATTTTGTTTTTATGACTAAGAATAATTTGTAAGTTATAAAAATAGTAAGTCAACTCATGATTTACTTCTGATGATCTTGCAACTGTTACATTTGGGGAAGAAATAGTAATAACAATGCCCCATTATACTTGTCAAAATGCTTCAAGTGTTCTGTCTTTCACATCTGTGATCTCATTAGATGGGTGATTATCCTCAGCCTGAAGAACAAACAAGTGATTATATTTCTGTATATTAATGCTAATTTTAATCAGTTACATTGTTTGACCTTGATGATTTTTCCTTGTAGGCTTGAGTACTGACCTGTATGCAGGTTAACCCTTCAGTCTTGTTCTATTGTACCTGCCCTTTAGTTCTCATTGATGCCTTAATTTCATAGCCAGTTTCCTAGTGTAAGCAAGACAGGATCAGAACACAGTAGACAGGAGTACAATACTGACACCAGGCTCTGTCTCATTTTAATGATGAAATGAATGTATATACATGAACACAGCAGCTGCCAGCAAGTTTTCAAGTACTTTCTAGTAGCCAGATTCTCACTCTTCTTGAATTTGGCTTTGTTACATGGGTACCCATCTGCTGGTAGTAACCAGACTGATAATTGAAGGCAGCCTTCCAGCATAGCATCGCCAGGGCCATCTGTTTTCTAACAGTGCAGTAGGGTTTTGAAGGATGGGTCTTTAATTGTTTCTTTAAGATACAAAAAAATGTCTTCCTACTTCTCAGAAGGGTATTTTTGAAATGTAATTTTTTAAAATAAGTAGCCTTATGGATTTCTTTCATTCCCTAAGATGTGAGATACTTAGTTTTTAGTTTGTGGTAATATGCCAATTCTTGAGGGTAGGGTATAGTATGGGTGGAGGTACCTTTAAACCCCCCGCCCCCCCAGGGCCTTCCCAGTGTTCCCAGACAGAAGCAGGCAGATCTTTTGAGAGTGAGGTTTGCTTGGTCCACAGAATGAGACTCTGTGTCCAAAAAAAAAAAGGGGGGGGGGTGCTGGAGAGATGTCTCTGTGAATACAGCTATTTAACTCAGTGTGCCAAACCTGAAGACCTCAGTTCGATCCCTGCAACCCATGTGGTAGAATAGGAGAACTAACTACCCTAAGTTGTCCTGTTTTCCACATATGTGCCATAGCATGTCCTGCCTCCTCAGTGTATACACCCGTACACACACTAATAAAGATAATAATTTGAAAAACTAAAGGAAACAAGTTTCAGTGTGACTAGACTGTTTTTACTATCTGTTGTGTTTCCCCCTGGTTTCGATCATGGTTTCCCAACATAGTAGAATGACTCTGTACATTTATGTATCTGTGTTACTTTGCTACCCATTCCTGTGTGGATGCATATTTAATCATGGTCCAAGGAAACTGAATGTTCAGATTCCTCCATCCAAGATGGTTCTGTGCTAGCCTGTGATACTGTATGGATTATTCAGTAACTTTCTAATAGTTAGCTTAGCTCTGTTAGGTGTGTACTGAATGATTAGGACCACACCTTACACTATGGAGAGTAACCCTGTTGAAGGTAGAGACTCTTATTTATATATGAGGTTTTCATAATGTATGTTCCATGGCCATTGTAAATTTTTCGATGAAAACATTTATTGAAGGATATTTCATCTATAAGTACCCTTTTAAGATAGTATACCTTTAGCTGGTTTTGCAGTGAAAAACAAAAATTTGACCTTGGAACATTATGGTTTAGTATCACATCATATCTTTGCAAAGATAGTTTGACTAATCTGGTTTGATAGGAATCTGCAAAACTTTTGTCTTTGATCTTATAAATAGGCTTTTTCATAGCTAACCCTTTAGCAAGCAGAAATATTTCCTGAAGGTATAAGATAATTTTTAATGTTTGGTATCTGCTTTTATGATGTAAGTTGATTTAAAAAAGGGAAAGTTCATTCCTTACTGTGAAGGGCCTTTATTAAGGGAGACGTTGTGACTCGCATGAGCATTTGTTTAGATTAAAACAAGCTAAATGTGTTTTCAGGAAATGAAGAAGGAAAACAGTCTCATTAGGAATCAGTCTGAGCAAAGGGCCAGAGAAGTCTGCCACCTGGAGGATGAACTTGGTAAAGTCAAAGTGTGTTTGAGCCAGAGCCAGAATTTTGCAGAGGACATGAGAGGTGAGTTCAGTAACATTAGTGTTGTGTATATATTTTTTTAAATATTTACTTACTTATTTTGTGTGTCTATATGTGCATATGTGTGGTGTGTGTGTGTATCAGAGGGCAGTTTGATAAAAGAATTCTTCCTTTCACCAAATGGCTCTTAGGTTTCAGTCTCAGGTCATCAGGCGACGCACCAAACACCTTTAACCCACTGAGCCATCTCAGCAGCCCAGAATTCTATTAAGCCGTATTCCCACTAGGAAAGATTGGTATTAGCCCACTGGAAGAATCTGCGTCCTTTTCTGTATTCACCCCAAAATGTCCCTGCAGTTGATTAAGTTTTCTTTTTTGCTGCCCAGTTTCCAGTGTGATAGTTGAACTTTTAAAAATTGGAGCACATTGAGTTCCAAAATGCATGTTTTTCACTACTTTAAAACCAGAAGGACAAACATTGCTACACAATACTATATTGGCAGTGCAGACTCACCCTAGAGTGCCGTAAACTCTACATTAAATGTATGTGTTCCAGTCCCTTAATGGCCACTATATTTTGATAATTTACTTGACTAAATTACCTTACTTCCTAGGTTTACAGCCAAAGAATTAATGTTGTATGCAGCAAATGAATCCATCATTTGTTTATATTTATTTTTAGCATATCTTTTACATAACATTTTCTTGATATTTGCATATGAAGATTTTATCTCTAACCTGTTGACCTGAGTATGTGTGACACTTGTATGTTTTGTTTCATGTTCATTCTTCTTTTGTTTATTTGGACTGGGTTTGGTTCCAGGCTGTGCCCGAAAAAACCTCCTGCCTCAGTTTCCTAAGTATCTAGAACTGAATCTCTGAGACTGCTTTCTTTTTCCTGTGGCATCTGGTAGAAGTACCAGTCTTCAGCTTTCCTAAGGAGAACTATAAGAATGTATGACGACTGGGTCATTTTTCAGGGTTGATCAAAAGTGTCATTGTTTGAGGCCCTCAAATGCAAAGTAGAATAATAATGCCTTTGGGGTGCTTTTCCATACGTCTTTAACTCTCATTGGGTAGATTTGAAATTAATGGATTAGAAGTAAGTATAGTTTTTCATTTAATATTATATTGCATTACATACTATATTATATTATTTGCCATAGAGGCTTTCAATTATTCCCTGTTTCCACCAGGCCTTTTCATTACTGCTAGGTGAAAATATTGCCATTGTCAGTAGGACAAAAATAAGATAGTGATAGGAGCTTCCAGATGAGTCTCAACTCCTCTCAATACACTTACTAAGGAGGGATTGGAATGTGGGTGACATTCTTGCTCACAAATAACATACTTTTTTTAAAAAAAGAAGTAATTCTAAATACCCTGTAAACTCTTAATACATCAATTTTTATTAAGCTACCTAAGAGATTATCAAATATATTACTATACTAAAATGGCCATTTTTCTCTCTGTCTTTATATAAACTTAGATCATAAGGTCATGAGATGAGCTATTTTCAAGAACACCAGCATTAGTGTCAAGTTTTACAGGACTGGAGAGTATTAATTTCATTGCTTTTTTAGTTTAGAGTTTAAAATTTTAGAAGCCATAGACTAGACATGCTAGGCATCTTTCCCACTGAATTACACCCTGATGCTAGAATATAATATTCTGATGAAAATAGGTATTTGTTATAAACATTGATAACTTTGTGTTCATTTGTTTGTTTTAATAGCTAAGAATACCTCTCAGGAAATCATGTTGAGAGAGCTCCAGGAAAAACTAAATCAGCAAGAGAACTCACTAATATTAGAGAAACTAAAACTTGCCTTAGCTGATCTGGAAGGGCAGAGAGACTGTTCACAAGACCTGTTGAAAAAAAGGGAGCATCACATTGAACAACTGAATGATAAGTTAAATAAAATAGAGAAGGAGTTTGAAGCTTTGCTGAGTGCTTTGGAGTTAAAAAAGAAAGAGTGTGAAGAGTTGGAAGAAGAGAAAACTCAGTTTTCTTGTTGGAAAAGTGAAAATGAAAAACTTATAAATCAGATAGAATCAGAAAAAGAAAGCTTACAGAGTAAAATCAACCACTTAGAAGCCAGTCTCAGGACGCAACAAATACAAAGTCATGACTACAGTGAAAGAGTAAGAACACTGGAAATGGAAAGAGAAAACCTTAATGTGGAGATTAGAAACCTCCACAGTATGATAGACAGCAAGATGGTAGAGATCGAGACACAGAAACAAGCCTACTTGGAGCTGCAGCAGAAAGCTGAGTTCTCAGATCAGAAGCATCAGAAGGAAATAGAAAATATGTGCTTGAAAGCTAATGAGCTCACTGGGCAAGTCGAAGATTTGGAATATAAGCTTCAGTTACTGTCAAGTGAAGTAGTAACCAAAGAGCAGCAGTACCAAGGCTTGCGTACTGAATATGAAACGCTGAGGGATTTGCTCAAGTCCAGAGGTTCTCTGGTGACAAATGAGGATAATCAGAGAAGTTCTTTGGCTTTTGAACAGCAGCCGACAGTGAGTGACTCCTTTGGAAATCTAATGGGGGAACAAGGAAGCATGTATTCAGAAAGGAGTGACTGCTTTGTAGATGGGGACCAAACTTCAGAAAATCTATCTGTCTTACAAAATAGAGTCACTTCACTTGAAAGTTCCCTGGAGTCTCAAAACCAGATGAACTCGGATCTTCAAAAGCAGTGTGAAGAGTTGCTACAAATCAAAGAAGAAATAGAAGAAAACCTCATTAAAGCAGAACAGATTCATCAGAATTTTGTGGATGAAACAAACCAACGCATTGGTAAATTGCAGGAAGATTCTGCAGTTCATCAAAATATTGTTGCTGAAACTTTAGCAACCCTTGAGAGTAAGGAAAAAGAGTTGCAACTTTTGAAAGAAAAATTAGAAGCTGATCAAACAGAGATTCAAGAATTAAAGAAGAGTAACTGCCTTCTTGAAGAAACTCTGAAGGAGCTACAACTTTCGTCTGAAACTTTGAGCTCAGAGAAGAAAGAAATGAGTGACATCATCTCTTTAAACAAAAAAGACATTGAAGAGTTAACCCAAGAAAATGGGGCTCTCAAAGAAGTTAATGAGGCCTTATGGCAGGAGAAAATGAATTTACTCCAAAAACATGAGGAGATTTCCAGATGTGTTGCAGAACAAGAGAGAAGCATTTCAGAGTTGTCTGATCAGTATAAGCAAGAAAGACATCTGTTGTTACAACGATGTGAAGAAACAGAAACTGTGTTGGAAGATCTCAGGGGTAACTACAAAACAGCACAAGAAAACAATGCTAGGTTAGAATGTTTGCTCAGTGAATGCACTGCTGCTTGTGAGAATAGGAAAAATGAACTGGAGCAGTTAAAGGAAGCATTTGCAAAGGAACAGCAAGAATTTTTAACAAAACTAGCTTTCAGTGAAGAGCAAAACAGGAAATTGATGCTGAAGTTGGAGATAGAGCAACAAACTGTGAAATCTAAGATTACAGACACCAAAATCTATTCTAAGAGTGAGACTGATGGTCTAAGGCAAGAGACTTTAAAGGAAGAGCAAAATAAAAAGGAAAAGGAAGTTAGCAACTTACATGAGAACGAGCAACTAATGCAGTTAACTCAGACTAAACATGAGCATTATCATCTTGAAGTAGAATCAGTTGAGAACTCTGTAAAAGCAACAGAAGATGAGATAAATATGTGTAGTTCCCAGTGTCAGATGGATATTGACACTAAAGACATTTCTCCCGACAGTTACAAAGCACAGTTGGTACAACTAGAAGCTTTGATTAAAGTTATGGAAGTAAAGCTTGATCAAAGTGAGGAGGAGAAAAAAACCCTGCATCAGGAATTACAAACAATTAGAGGGGAGCTAGAAACTGTGAGTTCACAGGACACTCAGTCACATGAAAGGATTGGCCTTAAAGACTGTGAAATAGAAGCAGAAGGAAAGTATGTGTCAGTGCTCCATGAGTTGTCAACAAGTCAAAATGAGAATGCACACTTGCAGTGCTCTCTACAGACAGCATTGAATGAACTAACTGAGCTAGGGAAAGTGTGTGAAGTACTGAAGGTTGAAAAGTTAAAACTACAGTCTGAGCTGAATGACTCTAGATCACAGTGTATTACAGCAACTAGTAAAATGGCAGCAGAGGTTGAGAAGTTAGTGAATGAAGTGAAAATCCTAAACCATGAAGGTGTTCTTCCTCAGAGCAAGCTAATGAAAGATGTGTCAGATGTGTTGCATGATAAACGAAACATGACTCCTTTGGACAGTAGCGGTTTCTGTGAACAAATAACCTTGTCAGACAAAGAAGTTCCAGTGCACTTTGCTGAGTTACAGGAAAAATTTTCCTGTTTACAAAATGAACACAAAATTTTACATGATCAGCACTGTGAGGTGAGCTCCAAGATGTCAGAGCTGTGTTCCTATGTTGACACATTACAAGCTGAAAATTCTGTCTTGTCAGTGAATCTGAGAAACTTGAAGGGTGACTTGGTAAAAGAGAGGAAGCCTGGAGCTGAGAATGGACATACTCTGTCAGTGTCGTTCTGTGGCACAGACAGCCCTAGTCTGACAAATTTTGGAGAAGCTTTGTACAAAGATGTTTTAGAACAAACTGACAACACATCTCTTCTAAGCTTAGAAGGGAATGCTTCAGCAAACCCTTGTAATGTAGATGACGTGTCTTACAGCAGTCTTGAGGAGGAAAATCTGACTGAGAAAGAAATTCCTGCTGCCTCTGTGAGGACTATTGAAGAACTTGAAATCCTATGTCAGGTGTACTTGCAGTCCCTGAAAAATCTAGAAGAGAAAATCGAGAGTCAAGGGATTATGAAAAATAAAGAAATTCAAGAGCTTGAGCAGTTATTAAGCTCTGAAAGGAATGAGCTTGGCTGCCTTAGGGAGCAGTATTTGTCAGAAAAGGAGCAATGGCAGCAGAAGCTGACAAGTGTGACTTTGGAAATGGAGTCCAAGTTGGCAGAAGCAAAACAACAGACGAAGAATCTGTCCCTTGAGCTTGAGGTAGCACGCCTTCAGTTGCAAGAGCTGGACTTAAGCTCACGGTCTTTGCTTGGCACTGACATGGAAAATGTAAGTACTTGGGATATACATGCTGTTTCTCCATGTGCATGCTTAGTTAAACAGTAAATGCTTGTTGGATTGAAGTAAATGTGAAATCAAGATTGGAGTATTCTTAAGGTTCCAGGAGATAAATGAAAAAAACTTACCAAAAATTTCTCATGGCCAACCAGAACTCCAAAAAAAAAAAAAAAAAAAAAAAAAAAAGAGGAAACTTTATTTGAGGAATAAATGTCCATCATGATTCTTTTATGGAAAATAACTAAAGATGTCTTACAAAGTCTAAAGTTGGAAGTCTTTAGAATGTATACTCTCTTGGTTACTATTCTGTTGCTATGAACAGACTCCATGATCATGGCAACTCTTACAAAGGAAAGCATTTAATTAGGGCTGGCTTACAGTTTAGAGGTTTAGTTCATTATCAGCATGGTGGGAAGCATAGAGGCAGAGATGGTGCTGGAGAGGTAGCTGAGAGTTCTTCATCCAGATTGGCAGGCAACAAGAAGAGAGAGTGAGCCCCTGGGTTGTCTTGAACATTTGAAACCCCAGTGACATACTTCCTCCAACAAGGCCACACCCAATCCCTGTCAAGTGCCACTCCCTAATGACCAAGCATTTGAACATATGAGCCTATGGGGGCCATTCATATTCAAACCACCACATATACTTTTACTGATTAATAAGGCACAATTAAATATTATCAACACTGATGTGTTAAGGTGGTTTAGCCTTATGCCTTTCAGACTTTTAAGTGGTATAGCATTAGTTCTTAAGTGAGATAGAAGATATTATTTAAATGTTAATTTTCTAGCAGCTTGCAATAGAATCAGTTATTTAGAGAAAATTGCTTAGTTCCTTGTGATTTGTCTTTTCTAGTTGATCATCTCAAGTACTAATGCTATACTGTTTGAATCTTAACTCTAATTCTGTGAAGTGAAGGTCATAAGTCATATTGAGGTGGTAGTAGGAATCAAAATCATAGCACCCCATTTTGTAGATGAAATTGAGATAAAACATACTTTATCCAGGAAAGTGCTAACTAGGATGAGGTCTTTGGACTGAAAATCTGCTCATTAAACCCTTACTGCTTTTCTTGGTAAAGAACACGAGTACTGAAGAGCATGTTCACCATTTTACCTGAAGTTTGTCAGTCTCTTATTTGGTAATCACAAAGAAATGCTACTCTTTTAATCTGCCTGAAAGATGCAATTTTCATTTTAGATATAGTTGAAATACATGTTCTGGAGGGTTCATCCTTATGGTAAATATCTTACCCAACACTTTGCACATAGGTAGAACCCCCTGAATGTTTGTGTTGACTGTCTGGATAGAGAGCAGGATTGAATAAAGTATTGAAAGTCATGCTGTTGGGAGGAATATGCATAGCAGCACCCATACGGGCAGTTCTGTGAAGTAATAGTTAAATCACTGATTCCATTTTGACTCTTCTGAAAAATAATATTCTTTCTTGGTTTACATTATGTTTACAGGCTGTCCAGGGCCAAAATGATAGTTACGATATAAAAGAATCAGAAGTGTCTGTTTCAGAGACTACAGAGAAAACATCAACGCAGGACACTGATCAGACTTGTGATAAAGATGTTCAACAAGACCTTTGTCTAGAAACTTTAATTACCAAGACTGAGACAGCCAGGTTCACAGGAGAGGGGTGTGAAGAGCAGTCCCTACAGACCAATTGTGAGGCATCAGCAGAGGACAAAACCCAGGACTATTCGGAATGCATTTCTGAATTGTTTTCTAGTCCTAATGTGTTGATACCCATGGATATTCTGGAAGATCAGGGGTCTAGCCAGAATCTCCATTTGCAGAAAGACACATCAAATGAGAATTTAAGATTACCTCCTGTAGTAGACGACTGGGACAAAAAAGTTGAAAGTTTGCTAAATGAAATAAAAGAGTCAGGTTCAAAACTTAGTTTACAGGAAGTACAACTAAAGATCAAGATTGAAACATGCATGCAATTGGAAAAAATAGTCAAGGACCTCAAGAAGGAAAAATCTGACTTAAGTGAAAAATTGGAATCCCTTCCTTGTAACCAGGAGGTACACCAGAGAATAGAAAGTAGAGAAGACCTTGTTTTTGATGTAGAATTGGGAACAAGTAAGTTAAGTGGAGCTATTAAAGACAGTGCAGCCAACATAGAAGACAATTGGAAGGAAAAGTTTCTTGATGTGGAAAAGGAGCTGATCAGGATCCAGTCTGAGAAAGCTAATCTTGAGCATCTCATCCTCTCTGTGGAAGCTGACTTAAAAGTGGTTCAAGCAGAGAAGCTTCATTTAGAAAGAGACACTGAAAGCAAGCAGAAGGTTATTGTTGACCTTAAAGAAGAGCTATTTGTAGTTATAAGTGAGAGAAACAGGCTTTGTGGAGAATTAGATACTGTGTCAGAAGAAAGAAAAGCACTGGATCAGATGTCTAAAAAGATGAAAGAGAAAGTAGAAGAGCTGGAGTCTCACCAAAGTGAGAGCCTCCGTCACATTGAGGTGGTAGAGGCTGAGGTCAAGGACAAAGCAGAGCTCCTTCAGACTTTGTCCTTTAATGTGAGTGAGCTAACAAAGGACAAAGCCCATCTCCAGGAGCAGCTGCAGAGTTTGCAAAATGACTCCCAGGGATTATCTTTGGCAGTAGGTGAACTGGAAATCCAAATTGGACAACTGAGTAAAGAGAAAGAATCACTGGTCAAGGAGTCTCAAAACTTCCAGGTCAAGCTGACTGAGACAGAATGTGAAAAGCAGAACATCTCCAAGGCCTTGGAGGTGGCACTCATGGAGAAAGGTGAGTTTGCAGTGCGGCTGAGCTCAACCCAGGAGGAGGTGCATCAGTTGAGAAGAGGCATCGAGAAACTGAGTGTGCGCATCAAGGCAGATGAAAAGAAGCACTTCAGTACCGAGGAGAAACTGAAGGAAAGCCAACGTGAAAATGACTCATTGAAGGATAAAGTGGAGAATCTGGAGAGGGAATTGGAAATGTCAGAAGAACACCAAGAGCTGGTGATTCTTGATGCTGAGAATTCTAAAGCAGAGGTGGAGACCCTCAAGGCACAAATGGATGAAATGGCCAAAAACCTGAGCGTTTTTGAGTTAGACCTTGTCACAGTTAGGTCTGAAAGGGAAAATCTGACCAGGCAACTACAAGACAAGCAGAGTCGAGTGTCAGAACTGGATGAGTTGTGCTCTTCCTTTAGAAGTCTGTTGGAAGAAAAGGAGAAGGCAAGAGTACAAATGGAAGAAGACTCTAACTCTGCAGTGCTGATGCTTCAGACACAGTTACAAGAGTTCAGTGAGCAAATAGCAGCCCTGTGTAATGACCAGGAAACCTCGAAGACCCAAGAACAGAGTCTAGACCAGGCAGGGGAAGAAGTGCATCCCTTGAAAAGTAGCATTCAGAAGCTGAAAGCTCGCATACATGCTGGTGAAAAAGAGCAGCACTGCCTCCTCGGACAGCTGAGGGAAAGTAAGCATTATGCAGATGTGCTTAAGGACAGAGTTGAGAACCTTGAACAAGAATTGAAGCTCTCAGAGGCAAACAGAGAGCATGTGACTCTCAAAGCTGAGAGTTCCAAAGCAGAGATACAGACTTTAAAATCAGAAATACAAGGAATGGTCCAAAACATCCAAGATTTAGAGTTAGAACTTACTAATACAAGGTCAGAAAATGAAAATCTTATGAAAGGATTAAAACAGGAACAAAAGCGAGTGTCTGAATTAGAAACAAAAAATTCTTCTATTGAAAACTTACTAAAAGAAAAAGAACAAGAAAAGGTACAGATGGAAGAGGAATCCAAAATAACAATGGAGAGGCTTCAAACTCAATTAAGAGAGCTAAATGAGACAATGATTTCCTTGTGCAATGACCAAGAGGCCTATAAGACCAAAGAACAGAATCTGAGTGGTCAAGTACAAACTCTTGAAGTTGAGAAGGCCCAGCTGCTGCAGGATTTCGGTGAGACCAAGAATAAATACATTAGTTTGCAGTCTTCTGTAAATGTCCTCACTCAAGAAATAAAAGATGGCAAACAGAAACTAGAGAAGAAGGAGGAAGAGGTCAGGACACTGGAAGACCAACTTAAAGGTCAAGAACAGCTTGTATGTAAACTTTCCCAGTTGGAAGGAGAGCAGCAACTCTGGCAGAAACAGAAAGTAGAACTGGGAAATCTGACTGTGGAGCTGGAGCAGAAGATCCAAGTGCTGCAATCCAAAAACAGCGCTTTGCAGCACACCTTTGAAGCACTGCAGAATTCTTACAAAAGTTTAGAAAGTGAGCTTGGATTGATGAAGACGGAGAAAGTATCACTTGTGCAAAGAGTAAGTGCCATGACTTATTTCCCTGTGGAAGTATGGTCAGGAGGGAGGGACTTTGAAATGGTTCCCTGACTGTGTTCCTAGGGTCTTGACTATAGGAATATTGCATCAGCTCACTCAGCAGTGACCACTATGATGGGCTTATAAGGGGCCCCCCTTTTTTTGTGAATTGGATTAGGGTTCTGATGTGACCTCTTCACATAGGGGAACCTTGGGTTTCAGGGTTTTTAATATCTGTACTTTAGGTTCACTGGGGTGGAAACATCCCCTTATCCATTTGAGAACCAATGTGGCAAGAGTGTAACAGATAATGAATTAGGGTCTGAAGGCAGTCCCTGCCCTTTGCACCTTTAGGAGAAAGAATGCCTAAATACATTGATGTAATTAGGATCAGTGGAACACTCATGGCTTTCAGGGTATGGGTTGAGAAAAATCAGCCTGATCAAGAAAGGGATTCCTAAGAATTAAATTTTTTATTCAACAAATAACTAAAAAAGAATTTCCAGAAAATGAAGTCTATCACAACTATATTTTCCAAGATTTGTATATTTATAACTTTAATCCTTGGCATGTTTCTATTGAATTGAAATAGCATGGTGGGATTAGTAGAGATTTAAGAGCAGATAAAAATCTAAGACACTAAATACAAAAAATAAGGCACTCCTTCAAAACATTCTCTGATGTTGTTTCAAATTAAAACCTTTGTAAAGAGTCTTAAGACTTTTTTTTCTTACTGCTATTTTAAATCTTTGCTGAGAAGAAAATGGAAACTCATTAGTAGGTTTTGAGAAAACCAGGTGAGTGGAAGGAGGGAGGATCAGCCAGGTTCCGTTTTCTTAAAGAAACAGTGTGTGTCTAGCAGTGGTTAGTTCAGTAAGAACAGACTACCCAGAGCAGTTGCTAATGAATATTAAATTTCAGATTAACACAATGATTGGGAAAGAAGCACAGCTACAGAGGGAGCTGCATCTAATGGTACAGAAAACAACAAGGCTGAAAGAAGAATTCAATAAAGAGAAAAATAGGCTAACCGAAGAATTAAAAGTTCCAGTAGAAGAATTAAAGAACCTCAAAGTAAGATTCCTCAAGGCAGATTTGTTATGCTCTACTAATTTGGCATGCCTACTCTGGTTGACTGTAAGACATTCTGTAGTGTATCAAACTTTTTCAGGTTTCGGAACCCAAGCTTGTATAGTGCTCAGAATTGTAGTGATTTTCTGCCACGAACCACCCCAGCCGGGTATGGGAGTCCCTGGGATGAGAGTCCTTGAAGAATAGGTGGGTAAGGATTTGGCAGTAACAAACAGAAACAAACATAGAGGCAGTTTGAATCTGAGTGTATTTTGCAGTTCTCAAACAAGGTTTTTTATAGAGATATTTTCTCAGGGGATGTTTTTGTTAAACAAACCCAAACATATGACATTATTGTTACTTGGCACAGTGACGCAGAAATCCAAAACATAGGATCCAGGGTTAATCAAAACATAAAATTTGTCCTTGATTAGTCAAAACATAAGACCATCCTTGATTAACATAGTATCATCCAAGGCTAACCACATATTTCTTAAATCAAATTAATATATTTTTGTGGTCAGTTATTGTTTAACATCTATTACCTAGTTCTTGTGAGTTTTTGAAGTATTGAGCTATTTTAACTATTTTTACTCTTTCTTATTAAAAGCTTTCGTTACCAGACACTTAAGCCCACTTTCGATGACACATGTATAGCCATATGAAATTTTATTGTTGGGGAAGTTTTTACTATTTGTACTTACATGAGTAACATGAATGATTTGGAAAACTGGTTTTTCCTGAGATGAGGTCCTGGCTAGTAACCCCATCTCAGGGGATGGTTTCTTATCTATTTCTTTTGTTTGAAATGTCAGCATAGGCTTTTAGGAACATTTCATTAATGTGAAAAAAAGGAGTAGAAAAACAAATTGCCGAGAGAATCACAGCCCAATATTTTACTCTGGCTGAGAGTTCCACAACCGTTTCCAGGAGACCTCCTTTTGAAGTTATCGGCTCAGTCTGTGGAACTTGTCACACACAACCTACTGGATTTGTTGTGGCAATTTTTATCATCTAACACATGTGATGTGATGCTGAAAAAATTCCCAAACCCACATTGGCTATCAGGGAGATTTAGGGAACTGAGAAGAGAGGGGGGATTGTTTTATGAATCTTGAGATGTTGTGTTTTAAACATAACTCTAGTATATGCTGCTTTAATATGTTTTAGTTCTTCTATATACTTGTAAAATGAAATTCAAGGTTTTAAATGATATTACATGTTTTTTGTAGGTAGAGCATTGTAAATCTGTGAATCAGCTTGAGAAGGAATTTCAGCGTGCTCAGGGGAAAATAAAGTTGTTGCTCAAATCTTGTAAACAGCTGGAAAGAGAAAAGGGGATGCTGGAGAAAGAGATCTGCCAACTTGAAGCTGCACAGAAGCAGAAAGCTGGTGGGTTTTAGCTGGGGCATACTGTCTTCTGGAAGTCAGCATTCACCTCAATACTCCATTTGTACTCATGTTTAAAAAGTACTTTAATGGCTTCTTTGTAATATTTTCTTTTTTGTGGGTGAGGGGGTTTCGAGACAGGGTTTCTCTGTGGCTTTAGAGGCTGTCCTGCTTCTGCCTCCCGAATGCTGGGATTAAAGGCATGCGCCACCACCACCTGGCCTTTGTAGTATTTTCTAATTTCTGAATTTTGGGCTTAACCTTGTGTGGTAACTATAGGATTCAGAATGGAGCCTACATTTCGAAATATAATTATTTCCATGGAGGAAAACCTGAATGGTGCCTTTTGCTAATGGTTATCCATAAAGAGTTTGCTATTTTGGTACTGTTTGAGTAGCTTTTTTCCCCCCCTTTTCTTCTGCTTATTGGTAATTAACTTGCCACTTTTATCCACCCACATATTCTGCTTTTCCGTGGCTGGTATGTGTGGGAGGCTTCTAGATCAAGTGTGGCAGGGCAGTTCAGTGGTTTTTCCCATTGAGAGTGTAGTTGGAGTAGGTTTTGGAATCTGGAAGTTTGCCTCATGAATTGGTTGCCACCCCTGGCATCTAGACTCTGATTGAGGCCTCTGCCTTGATGTGGTTCTTCTACATTGGACCCTACCAACCCACTATTCTCTCAATGTTTTCACAGCTTTTGGGCACCTGTCCCCAAAACCATACAAGAAGGACTTTAAGATCATTACTGAATTATAGTGCTTATTCATTTGTGGCAGAAAGAAGGATGGGGGAAGGGGGATATAAAAAGTTAATTTGCTTGATCTCTTGTAGCTAATTCTATAAGGGAGTTAAAGTTTGGATGGGTTTTATTTAAACTATCTACTAGATTGTGCTTCATATTCTTCAGACACGAACAGATAATTGTCCTTAACTCCTGGAAAAGTTCAAAGAACAGGCTTAAAGATTACCTGCTGGGAACTGTCTATAACGATGCTCGGGAGCAGCTGCAATTGTAAATATGATGTGTCACTTTGTTTTCTACAGGTACTGTTGTGGGTGATAATGTAGCTAAATTAATGACTGAAAACAAAGAGCTAAAAGAGACTCTTGAAGAAAAAATCAAGGAAGCAGATAAGTACTTGGATAAGTACTGTTCCCTGCTTATAAGCCATGAAGAGTTAGAGAAAGCCAAAGAGATGCTAGAACTACAAGTTGCTCGTCTGAGTTCACAACAATCCAAGCAGCATCTTCACAGTTCTTCTTTACTGAATTCTTCGGTTCCAGGACCATCTCCAGCCACTTCTGTCAGTGAGAAGTCAACATCTGGCCAAAGTAAAACTTCAGGCAAGAGACAAAGGTCCAGCGGAATTTGGGAGAATGGTAGTGGGACACCACCTTGTGCACCAGAGACATTTTCTAAAAAAAGCAAGAAAACAGTCAATAGTAGCGTGCATCCTACTGAGGACAAGGAAGAGACTAAGTTTGAACTAGAGGGACTCCCAGAAGTCGTAAAAAAAGGTACGCATAGTTTACATACAGAATTATAGGGCTGAGGGTGTAAACCATGTGCTTAGCTTGCTTGTGACCCTTTATTCAATTCCTAGTATTAAAATGTGAAATTTTGAGATTTCACATAATAGTCGGCATGTGCAAAGATAGAAACCTTTACTTTTTAGGGTTTTCAATTATCATATATTAGCTGCCTGGAGAGACTAGTCCATTAAAAGTCTGTTAGAAATTCTTTTTTTCTTATTTTTTTAAATCACCTTTCCCTTTCTTGAGCCACATGAACTGGACAAGTGATCTGGTTGACATTGACCTCCTAGAAGTGAGAGTTTAGAATTTTCACACCTATTTGATATTGTTGCAGTCTCTTTAAGACATAAGCAGACTTTCCCCCTTACTAATTCGGTCTTGATTTTTAATTCTTTTTAATATTTTGAGACAGAATCTTCCTGTGTATCTCAGGCTGTTCTTGATCTTGAAGCATTTCTGTCTTATCCTCTTTGTGCTAGGATTGTAGACATGTGCCATCATACCCCAGCTTCAGCCACATAGTTTTATTTAAAAAAAACAAAACAAAACAAAACAAAAAAATCTGTAGCAGGTTGGATCTTTTGCCCTAGTCCTTGAAATCATAACTGATTGGAGGAGTTATATTCTAGTAACCATGGTTCCAAAGTATTTAGCTAGCTGTCACTCTCTTGATGACTCATTTGTAAGGGATTAAGAGCATCGCCTGTAGTTGGATCTGAATGCTGCTGTGATGAGAGTGTCTTTGTGGCTAGCCTTCTCTTGTTGTCACCAGTCAGGTCAGTTCCTTTCCTGGAAGGAGGCAGTATGAGCAAATACAAAGATACTTTGACAAGTCCTATAATCACTATTCGTTTACATTTTCCCTCTTCAGACAGGACTGGCCTTTTCCCATTCCAGTTCCATTGTGTCAAATGTCCTGCCTGTCTTAGAAAATGCAAGATCATGCAACCCTGTAGAAAAAGCAAAACTTTTTGTTCTTTTAAATGTGATTCTTCCTGATCCTTTTTCCTTATTGTGGTGTCTTTAAATCTTTTGTCTTTCTAATAAGGGATAACCTGTTAATTTTCCAATTCATTTGATGACCACCTAGGCAATTATGTAGTTTAATACTTTGTTCTCTGTGACTGGAGAGAAGCTAGGTCTTGTAGTTATTTTTACTTTTAGTTATTTTTATTTTATTGAAACTTTGTATACCCACAAGCACGTGAACTCCTTTGCTGGCACAGCTAAAATGGAAAGTCCCTAATGAATGCCATTTCTGACAAGCAGCTTTTTTGCCCTTAGGGTTTGCTGACATTCCTACAGGCAAAACGAGTCCATATATCCTGCGGAGAACTACCATGCCGATCAGAACCAGCCCCCGCCTTGCTGCGCAGAAGTTAGTGGGATCCTCCCCAACACCAGGCAAAGAAAACATTGCAGAGTCCTCAAAACCAACAGCTGGTGGCAGCAGATCACAAAAGGTAGTCTGTGAATGTCATTTCCTGCCTGCCATCCTGGAAGTCTGTTAGGTGGCTCAGGGTTGGCTGCTGTACTTTCTCACTCAGAAATCCCAGAGTGAGCAAGTCTAAGGATGCACAGTTTCCTGAGGTCTAATCTCCTCCTCTACCCAAAGGGCTGCTGTGAATAGCTTCCTGGGAAACTCAGTACATTTGTCAGAGAGTTCTCAGCATGGCTTAAATGGTGTAAAGAGGCTGTTTTCTTTTGGGCCACAGGTTTTGATCACTGTTGAGATTTTACATTCTGTTAGTCTCCCCTCTCCTGTCAAGGCTTCTGATCTCTGACCTTTATTCTTTACATTGAGCATAAGGTGGAGAATATTTGCTCAGCTGATTTTTATTTCTAATACTGTAATTTGTATTAACGGTACCATTTTTGCACACAAGTACATGTGTTTTACCTAACTTTTAAAATCCCAGGCTTGCCTTGAACTCCTGATCTTTATGCCTCCACCTCCTGAGTGCTGGCATTACAGATGTGCACCATAGCTCCCTCTCTATGCTTTGTGCACACCAAGTTTCACCCTTTCTCTCTCTCTCTCTCTCTCTCTCTCTCTCTCTCTCTCTCCCTCCCTCTCTCTTTTCTTTTTTTCTTTTCAAGACAGGGTTTTTCTGTGTAGCTTTGGGACCTATCCTGGCACACTCTCTGGAGACCAGGCTAGCCTCGAACTCACAGAGATCGCCTGCCTCTGCCTCCCAAGTGCTGGGATTAAAGGCGTTCTTTTTTTTTTTTTTAACAGAGAAATAATGTAATTTTATTATAATCTCAAAAACAAAAAGACATTAATAGCAAAAAGAGACAATAAATTAGGAAAGACTTATGAAAAACTTCAGGATCGAAATAACAAACAACAGTAGGGTTTTGGTTAATCTAACAAAGATCATATTAGCATTATCTTTTTTTTCCATTTTTTATTTGTGTTAGAAACAAGATTGATTTACATGACAATTCCAGTTCCCTTCTCCCTCCCTTCCTCCCCTACCACCCCCCCAACTAAAACTCTACCTATCACACACCCTTTCTTCTGTTCTTCACCTGACTCAACCTTTCTGTTCGCTCATGACCTCTGCATCCTTCCCATTACATTTCTTAACTCAGGTTTATTTGTTGATGTCTTACACTGGTGTGGTAAAAGAATGAAGGTGACCTTCCTGAAAGACTCAAACCTCCCCAGGTTCACACCTCTGTTTTGCAGCTTGTTTGTATTTCTCAAACTGGGAACCCTGGGAATATTCTTGGAAATTTCTAAAGTAACTTCAGGAATTTTTAAAAATTTGTGATGTTACTTTGCTCACTTATCAGAGTTTAAGTATGCAATTGGATAACCTTCAACTAGCAAAAAAAAAAAGAAAAAGTTCTTCACAAGTGTAGTAAGTGGCTCTTGTATGTTAGGGTTGTTAGCACAGAATCCAGAAACTGGTGATTAGTTGTATTAAAATAGCAACACATTACAAATTGGTTTGTTTTGATTGATGTGGAAATGGTATATATAGTTAAACCTTGTAAGTTAGGGCTAACAGTGAGGAAGGATCTTAAAATTTTCATACACTGGAATGGACTGGTCCACTCTTCATGGTAGAAGTAGTAAATTATCCTGTGCAGTTTTCTCCTTCCCCCTCAGTTATCTCTGTTCCCCACTCTCACTTGGAGTCAACAGTACTGAAGTACAGGAGAGTGAATCTTGACTCCCCCATGGATGAGGAAAGCTCTGTAAAACAGCAGGCTCCCTGAAGGAGTGAAGCTGAGCAGCTCTGACGAGCTGTTGGCCGTGGGATAGCCACAATTCTAGGGATCCGTTTAGGATCTGGTACAGACTGCCATTTGCCAGCTAGGGGATAGGGAGCACCTTTCACTCCTCAGTTACAAAAAAAAAAGGCCAGCTCCTTCCTCCTTGAAGCGTATGTAATACAGATGTTCTGTATGTCAGGATCCTTACAATAGGAAAACAGGCACTAAGCTAGGATCTGGACTCCTGTCAGAAGGAACTGACTCCCTGGGTACTGCTTGCCCAAGTATCTGTTTTCTGGTTTGCAGTATGTGACTAGTTTACCTATGTCATCATGACTAATGAAAAGTCAGCCATTTAACAAATGTTTGAGGATTGAATGGAACTGTATTATCTTGAAGTGACTTTAGTAATAAGGCTTTTATAAAGATAGGAAACTGTCCTATGAAGTTACCACAGGGTCTTTTCTTTTTTTTATAAGAAATTGATGGTAAAAGCAGTTTGCATGTGGTGTTCAGATTTATTACCTAGGAGAAAGAGTTTTGCACACTAGGGGGCCTGCACTCCACACTGCTGTGGAGCCTGCTGGTATGGAGCAGTAACCATGGTTTCCTGCAGATTTGTGTTTTCTGCATTAGCTACATGCAGTCTAGTCGGCACCAGCAGTTATGAATTACAAAGCAGTTTTGTGCACTTGAAGAATGGCAGGGGGTCCTCTTGAAAAGAGGGTCTAGGAGACTTTGATTAGATTCACATTTTAAAAACATAGCCTAGTCATTTTCACTTTAAGTCAGCATTTTCTGAGATGCTCTGTACAAGCATGTTTCATCCTTGAGTTTAGAAAACACAGAACAAGATTTTGTTACTAAAACAGGTGCTCTGACACTCAAAACTGTAAATTCTCCCCTAAGGTGAAGGCTAAGTTCAAGGCAGCTCCTCATGCCATTTGTTAGCATCTGATGAGTGCAGGGCAGAGAGGAATGACTGAGATACATGGGGTGCATTGTTCTGTTGATATTGTCATTGAGATGAGGACGCCCAAGGAATCCTAGTCTGCTAGAGACAGAAGAGCTGCTGTTTGTAGACTTGATTCCCTGATGGTTCTGCTTGGGGGTCTGGCCTCTATAAATCATAGGACTCACATGGATGGTAGTGATTCCTTGAGCATAGATAGGGTCAGTTAACAGCTCTTTGAGGACATTGTATTACTCCCCCCACCCTCACCCCACCCCTGCTAGTAGGATTCACTTCTACCAAGCCGTCTACATCTCTATTCTCTCCCCACTCTGGCTGCAGACCTCACTGGTAAGATGGGTAGTGGCACTGTCTGTTAGATTCAGAGCCTTGTCTGGTGTGGACCGTCAGAAGCAGACTGTGTCTACATGAGCATCACACTCGCACTTTACAATCTGACTCAGTTCCATGTCAGAAAAGCCAAGGAATGTTCTGCAGTCACTTCATTAGGTTTTGCGGTTTTGCTGACTCAGTTCCTTATTTCTGTGTGATCCATCATTCTCCCTGCTTTCCTCCTTTTCTTGTTCACTGAATGTCCCTGTGACTGGCAGATTCAAAGGAAATCCTTGTCTTGGTTACTCTCATTGCTTCTCTTAAAAAGAAACAAGAATGGTAGTACCAATAAAACTTCTTCCCTTCAACTTTTCACACATGGTAATTTCCCACCAACTCCTGGTCCTTGGCTGCTGTTTTTTAGTGTCCTGTGCATATGATCTGAGATAGAAGCAGGCTTTCTTATTTACTGTGTTTTTCTTTTCTTTTTTAAAAAATATGTATTTATTGTGTATAGTGTTCTACCTGCATGTATACCTGCAGGCCAGAAGCAGGCATCAGATCTCATTACAGATGGTTGTGAGCCACCATGTGGTTGCTGGGAATTGAACTCAGGACCTCTGGAAGAACAGGCAGTGCTCTTAACCTCTGAGCCATCTCTCCAGCCCCCTTACTATGTTTTTCATAATGCAAAATTATCTAATTGCCCTTTAAAGTCACATGCTTCCTATAGAGAGACTATAAATGGAAAAACAACCTTCCATTCTTTTTTCTTAATTAAATTTTATTTTATCTTCTTAATCTTCCATTTTTTTTTCCTGTTTCGAAATGATACCTGGAAATTTTATTTTGGGAGTGTCTGTCATGTAGTTATTTTTGGGACACTGCACTGAAGACCTATCTGTACTTGCAGAATAGTCGTTCTTTTAAAATTGTTATTAATTGTCTTTTCCGTTTTGGAGGGTGAGGTGCAGTACTGGGTAGAATTGAACATAGGGCTTGGTGTATCTAGGCAAATTCCCAGCCTTCTTTTTTAATTTTTAAGACAGTGTCTCACTAAGTTGTCTGGCTAGCCTGAATTTACTCTTAACCAACTTCAAGCAGGCCTTGAAAATTGTTATCCTTTTCCCTTAGCCTCTTGAGTATCTAAATTGTCAGGCCTCATTAGGCTGTTTCGTTTTTGTTGTTTTGTTTTGTTTTTAGTTGCGTCTCACTGTTGTGCAGGCTAGCCTTGCACTCCTGGGCTCAGCTGATCTCAAGTCTCTCACCTTGCTGCTCTGTTTTCTTCTGAAGATCTTGTCTGTGAATCTTCCATTCTTGCTTTTAACTTCTTGTTTGTGCACTTCCTTGTCTTCCACTTTATTTTGGGACAAGGTCTTTCGTTGGTCTAAAGCTCACTAAGTTGAATAAGCCGATGAGCCAGCAGTCCTAGAGCACGGTCATGCCCAGCCTTTTTATGTGGGTTCTGGCAATTGTACATAGGCCCTCAAATTTATAATACATAGCCTTCTCCCCAGCTGTTCTTATTCTCATACCTTATATTTCTTCATTATCCTATTTATCATAAATTTTGACTTAGCAACTACATCAACATCTTACCATTTTTTTAGTTTTGTTTTCTGGTGTAATCTCTTTCATCTAAAAGACACAACATCATGGGGGATTTATTCTTTCTGGACTTCATTATTAGATAACTGTCTTCCAAATCTAGTATGGAAACAACTCTATTAACAGAGTGATTGAGAGCTAGGTGATGGTGGTACACACCTTTAATCCCTGTGCTTGGGAGACAGAGGCAGGTAGATATCTGTGAGTTCTCCAGCCAGGTCTACAGAATGACTTTCAGGACAACAAGGTCTACACAGAGAATCCCTGTCTCCCAAAACCAAAAAAGGAAAAGAAAAGAGAGTGTGATTGATTCAGTATGGGTCCTAGGTGCTTGCCATATTGTAAATAGTTTTTCCCTCTGAAGTCAGTTGTATGCACTTGTATTGCACTTGCTTTGAATGCAGCAGGGATTCGGGACCATTGAGGCAGGTTTTGGCTTTTAGTTAGGAATTTGTTATGCATTTGCTATGTGATCAGGCACATTGTGGGTATTAAGAATGAGTGTAGGTGCTGGGCACTAGTGGCTCAGGTCTTTAATCCCACCACTTGAGAGGCAGGCGGATCTCTTGTGAGTTTGAGGCCAGCCTGGTTTACAGAGTGAGTTCCAGGACAATCTCCAAAGCTACAGAGAAACCCTGTCTCAAAAAAAAAAAAAACCAAAAAAACAAAAAAAAAACAAGAGCCAAGACACACTGGGGTGGGCCTAGGCCCTATCCCAAAGGATATGAAAGACTCTGATGACACCCTATGGAAGGCCTCACCATCCAGGGGGAGCAGAAAAGGTATGTGACAGATAAGGTTTTAGTTGTGTGGGGGGGGGGCTAGGGGAGGACGGATGGGAGAAGGAAACTGGGATTGTCATGAAAAATAATCCTGTTTCTAATTCAAATAAAAAAAGTTGGAAAAAAAAAAGAGTATGAGTGTAGGTAAATAAGATGCAGTTTTTGCTTTTAGACAGTTTGCCTTCTGTTTTGACATGTCACAGTTGCTTGGGAGTGGAGCTTTGGCCTTCAGTGGTGTCAAGAGAAGCCTGAGACTTGTTAGAGGGTACATCTGATGTTTTAACTCCTGTTAGGTTAAACTCCTTCTTTCACAGAGGAATATACTAAGATTTTAGTTCCTCCTACAGAAGAGCTGACCCAGGTGATCAGTTTCATCTCTTGGGAGTGGGAATGTGACCAGGTACAGACCTCTAAGTCTACTAGTGAGGGAGTCTGAGGCAGGAGGATCACAAATTCAAGATCTCTCTGGCCTATAGAATGAGTTTAGGGCTAGCCTGGGTAACTAGTGAACCTCTGTTTCAAATCCAAAGTAAAAATAGGGCTGGGAATGTAGCTCACTGGGGGCCTAGCATGTATAATATCTTCAGTCCCCTATAGAACAAACAGTGACAACCACTGAGAAAAATGTGGACGTGATTTTCAACCTCTAATACATTTATGTATGTTGCAGGTCAAGGTTGTTCAGCAGAGCTCTGTGGATTCATGCACTGCCATACCAGAAAGCCTAGAGAAGTCTCTCACAGCCTGTAATGTTCCTGGGAGAAACTCTGCGGAGAGCCCCACGGAGGACTTGAGCATTAAACAGGGCTACCCTGCTTCCAGCCCAGCTGCTGGGCCTAACCCACCAATCAATGAAAACTGTCGTGTCCAATGAGATGTCAGGGTTCTGGAAGGTGGCAGTAGTCAAAACAGATACAGTAGTCAGTAGTCAAACCTGCCTGTGAGGACTTGTCTTGAGCAAAGAGCACTTTATAATTGAATCCTTATGCTCTATGTGTGGCCTTCAGGTCTCCGATATGTAAGATGGGAAAAGTTTGGAAGCACTTCTTACCAATTCCTTGTTCTTAACCACAGGTGTAAATGGTAGTGGCTAGAGCTTGAGAATTTGCTGCAATGAAATGGAAAGCGCCACGGTGATTTGTGTGAATTTTACATGTAAAAAACCCTGCAATGATTTGGTTTAGGATCTTTTTGTGTAAAGTGTTGGCGAGAAATAGTTGATCTAAGAATTTGAGCTGAGTGACATAAGAACCTGTATGAGTGGTGTGTTCATTCTTTCAGTGTGTTTCATAACCTTCTGCTCATATAACTAACCTGTTGATGTGTGTGGGGCATTGGAGTGTGTATTTATTTGTAATTAGTTTGATTGTTACAGACACCCTAGAGGTGGTGTAGATCATGTTTACGTGCACTGTGTTTTTCTTGTTAAAGTCATCATAGTTCTTTGGTATACATTGCTGTATCTGGTGATATATTAAAATTTGTTCTCATAAAAATCTTTTTTGTAAAAATTATTTCCTAAATATAAAAGTGTTGTAACTAATGGCACCACATCATGGTGAGATGTTTGAACAATTGGTACATATCTTTGAATACATGCTACCAGTATGCTTACTGAATATGAGGCATACTTTAGAATGTTGGTCATACAGATGGTATGAGAATATGGATGTATCCAACTATTTGATACCTTGTGCTCATTAAGTCACATCGGTAAAGGTACAAGGATGCAATGTTTCCTTCTGTCAGTTGAAAAGATGGAGGCATTTAAACCATATGAAATAAAACATTGACTTAGCCCCAGTACCCTGAATAAGGATAAAAAGGTTTTCGGGGATTTAAATTAGTAGATAATTTAATTCTTGGCTTTCAGTTCAGATTGGCAGCCAAGCCTTCATGGTCATTTTAGATTTTAAAGATGTCTGTAGCAAGTAGTTCCATGTAGACAAACTTCTTTCCTGCCAACCAGTTTCCAAATAACTGACACACAAACTTAATTATAATTGCTTGGCTATTGGCTCAGACTTATTACTAAGTAGCTCTCACAACTTAAATTAACTCATTAATCTGTGTGATACCACATGGCTTGGGCTTTACCTGTCCTCCAGCATGTCTTGCTCCCTCTGCATCTCCTGTTGACTCCTATGACTCCGCCCTCCCCAGCATTCTCTGCCTAACCATTGGCCAATCAGCTTTTTATTAATGAGAGCAACACATATTTACAGTGTACAAAGATTGTTCCATAGCAGTTCCACTGTTGGAAGATAAACCACTAGCTTAAGCTGAATGGTGTCCATGTCTTGAGAGACTGCAGTGTCAGGCCAGCACCTTTAAGGAATGCCTCCGGTGACAGATCTGGCACAGGCTGTTGCTGAATATTTTCCAGGGTCCTCTTTTTGTAGGTTTCCTCAGCTCCTTTGTGATATGGAATACTTCCATTACCAGAAGCAATGGATCCATGCTTTGGTTGAGTGTCAAGCTGGGGGTAAAGAATGATTTGTTAGTTGCTGTGAGGAGCATGTTGGCATATTGACGATGGTTCTTAAAGTGATGTCTGAATAGAATAGCACAAGGCTTTCATTGTCAAACACCAGTAGTGCATGGGCACATTCCCGAGCTTGCTGTGTATGGGTGAGATTGTAAGAACAGTCTCACTGTGTATCCTGGCTGACCTGGAACTCATCTGCCCTCTTGTGTTATGATAAATCTTTCTGCCAAAAGCCGCCTGAGCCCCATCGCCACGTGTGAGCTTTACGGCAGCCGCCTGCCCGAGTTAGGCCCAAATGAATACACAGAAACTTGTATTAGGTTCAATGCTGCTTGGCCAATGTCTAGGATTCTCATCTGTTAGCTCAGTCTTAATTATTTCAAATCTATATATTTTATAAGACTTATCGGACGCCTTATTGGCGTCCCTCCTTGCCGGTGGCTCACATCCTGCCACTGGAGGAAGCGAACGGGAAAAAGGTCCCTTCCTGTTTCTCCTTCGCTTAAATATGAGTTTCCTTGCTATGTCACTTCCTGCCTGGATCATCACTTATCTGCTACATTTCCCAGAATCCTCTTTGACTCTTAGTCCTGCCTAACTTGCTGTTTCATTGGCCAAACATTATTTTATTTAACAGTCAATAAGATAAACATACAAAGAAGTACATTCCCCATCACTCTTGTGTCTCTGAAGTACCGGGGTTAGAAGCAGATGCCACCATGCCTGGTAGGTCAGCACTTAAAACTTGACTATCTGTGACCCCTTTTCACATGAGACTGTGCCTGGTATATAAAATAGTATATAACTCAGATGTCTGCTGATAAAATGTAAATTTATTTTAGACTGGGGATATGACTCAGTGTTGATTGTGTAGTATGCTCAAGGAATGGAGTTTGATCCCTGTGCTGCCAACAAAGCAAAACCAAACACCTTTTCGTATACATATGATTTGACCATTTTTCTCAAAGAAGCAAATTTGCTTCCCAAGGAGATGAATGGGTATCTTTATTTTACACAAAGGACAAAATCTTAGCTGAGCATCTGATATTGCATGATGTAAGAGAACTCAGTGTTTCCCGGCGTTGACTGACACCCCCATTTTATAATCACTAGTGGGTAACCCTGCTTCACATAAATATGTAACACAAGATGCCACAAGTGTATCCAGAGCCATTTCTATGCGATCTGAAGCCAAAATCCATTTAATGAGTGTGTGTGTGTGTGTGTGTGTGTAACTTGAGTTAAACAGCATTTTTTAAAACCAAACATTTTGGAGTTGGTGAGATGCTTCAGTGAGTCCAAACCTGATTACCTGAAGAGGACAAGCTTGGAAAAGTTACTCTCATCTCCATACACTGGCTGTGACATGTGCACCCAAACAAGCATACACACACCCAAGTAGAACAAATTTAAAATCAATCAAAGATAATACCAATTTGATACATGCTGAAGAATGACCATAGGAAAATACTAAGTCTCTTGTTTGTAAGCCATTGTTTTTATAATAGCAGAAACCTTAATGTACATTGTAAAAAGTGTAACAACACTGCCATCACATCATGTAATAGTATTGAATCTGAACTTGTTGTGTGTTAGTTCTGAGCTGTCAGTGTTGTGACCCCTAACCCCAATGTTGCCACCCACATTTTTAAAAGCTGTGCTTAGGTTCCATAGAATAGCTAGGTGGCCCTGGTTTATATGGCTCATTGTCTTTGGACCACCTAGCCTGAAAGTTAGCCCACCATTTAAAAGGATAGCAGTTATTTCCCTGTGAATATGGAAGTTGGATCCTAAAAATGGCTAACACTTTAGTTTTTATAATCAGAATTGTTCATAGTTGGAAGCATGTGTCATGAGTTTGAGCTACATATGTGATGAAAAATAAGCATGTTGGTTCCAGAGTCTCATAAAGTGCCTGAGTTACAAATAGAGCTCCAGCTGACTTACATGGAGAAAAAAATCCAGTTCAGAGATCTGGGGATTTTAGTTTTCATATACACAGTTAAGGGCATGGCATGGTGGAAAGAAATTTTCCTTGAGCTGGAACTGAAATGGCAGTTTGTGTTCATGCCCGTTGTCCGGGCTCCCCTGGGACAGCATCTTCAGTGAGGGAGTAACATTTTTGCGTGTAGCCTGATTCCTTAAGAATTCCCACCCCAACCCCCAGGTGCGTTCACCTTCAAAATGCATTTGCATTTTCTCACTTGATTCCAAGTTGATCTGCCTTTTCAGTGCTGTTAAGTTCCCAGGTGTTTTAACCTGGAAAGCTCAGGCACTCCTTTGAGTCTACAAGGGGTAATGGATTGAGTCTGCAAATGACTTCTAACTACTTTCAGGGATACTTTCCCAGGTTCTTTGAAAATCACTCAAATGCTAGCAATATGTCAGAAAAGTAATTTGAGTGGGAGTCTAGTGACTGGTCCCTACCAGTCTCAGGTTCACAAGCTCCATGTTGTTCATAGTGCTCTTGTGGTTGGAGGATTGGGGTGGGTGCTGTATTAAAGAGGGAGGACACTGACCACCTGGAGTTCGCAGGTGCTAGTTGTCATTTGAGGATATTTGAATTGTGATCTCTTCCCCATTATTTGGATAAGCTGTCTTCCCTTTGGAGTAAGGGGCTGAGGACTAGAACAGGTCAGGCACTTCTAGGCTGTAAAGGTCATGTCCCGTTCCACCACAGCTGTCCATCTAAGGCCATGACTCCCCTGAGCTGTGACTCAGCCTTTTGTAGGAAGTGAAAGTACATCTCAAGTCTTCTCCGTGTGTCATCAAGTCTTACCTGTGAGCTCCACGCTTTGGGCTCCTTTTTGTAGCTGAGACGAAATAGGCACTGTGGGAACTCTGACTCGTAGTCCTGGGCCATGTTTGCCATTGAGCGCATTTCCCATCAACCTTGCAGAATGTGGGTTACTCTCACGTGATGGAATATGACGTATATTAGTTACTTCCTGTTGCTGTAATAAAACACCCAACAGAAACTCTTAAGGTTTATTTTGACGCTAAATGAGGGGCTGTATTTCATGACCGGGAAGACATGGCAGCAGGGTCATGGGGTGAGGTGATTGCAAGACTGCCTATATTCGAATTCGAGTGCAGCAACCAGAGGAAGATGTGTGGTGTCAGCTTTGTGCCTTAGTCCCCTGAGATAGGGGGTCTCACTAAACATAGAGCTAGGCTGGTGACCAGCAAGTCCCAGTGATCCTCTTGTCTCTGCCCCCTACTATACTGTGGTTACTGGTGTGCTATTAAGCCCAGCTTTTTATGGGGGTGCCAGGGATTTGAACTCAGGTCCTCATGCTAAGGCAGCAAGTATGCTTGCCCACTGAGTCATTTGCCCATTGTTGTAATTTAAGAAAGGTGGTTCGTGAGAGAAAGATGCCATGAAACAGGGTTCAAGCAGAGGGTTTATAATTTATTAGGGAAAGGGATCATAAAAGGGGAAAGGGAAGTGAGGAGACCTGCCTCTGGAGACAAGAGCAACAGGAGAGAGGAGAGAGGAAAGTTGGGGGGAGAGATAGGGGAGAGGGAGAGAAAGAGAGAAGAGGATGGGAGGTGAGCAGGGCCCCTTTAAAAGGGAACACAGTGAATGTGCACAGGTGGTGCTCTTAGTGGCTGCAGCTGAGGGCGTGTCCTGTCAGAACCCCAAGGACAGACAGGCCAGTGCAGATGCCTGAATAGTAACATCCCTCCCTAACTTTTAAAAACACTAAAGCTAGAATTGTTAGGAAAACATATGTTCCTTCAATATAATAGGTTAGTTTTAGATCAAGTTCTGTTCTTCAAAAGACGACTGTATACCACTAAACCTGGACTTTGCAAAGTTTAATCCCTACAGATTTGTGTATAGCATTCAATTGCTGATCATGCAAATGAGCCACACACTTTTTTTTTTCATTTTTTGTTTGGCTCATTAAAAATATCCAAAGAAAACAATTACTGCAATTTTGCTTAAAAATGAGTTGTGCTCTTTAAGTTCAAATTTAAATTGGTTGTTTAGAACTCAGAATAGA